GAACTGGAACATGTTGAAGCTACACCTCACTGTGGCATCCCCTCTCTGGGCCTCGGTCTCCCCATCTGGGTACCGAGGAGTTGGGCTCAGCGATGTTCTAGTATTGTGCGGCCCCTGGATTTTATCCTGCCTCCTGGGGCCCCCATGTTTGGCATCCCAGAGTCATGGTCTCTAGCCAAGTGGACACCGAGTGGGCTTCCAGAACCTCCCAGAAGAGACATGCTACTTTCCCCAGCTGAGGGCCCCTGGTCAGCCCGTGTTCTTCCCCCTCCCCTGTTCATTTGTGATTATGAGAGGCCAGTGCTGGGGGCCCAGCCTGGGGTTTCTGTGCTCTTGTAGGGACACAGGAAGTAGGCACAACTCTATCCTCCAGGAGTTTGGCAGAGAACTAACACCCCTCAACAACCAGAGATGGACAGCGAGTGCCACCACTATCCCCGTGGGGGGAGTCCCTCAGCAAATGCTCATGCGCATGTATATTTCTCCTTCCCCCCTCCCTCCCTCCCTCCCTCCCCCCCTTCCATTATCCATCCATCCACCCAACCACCCGATCGTGACTTCCAGACTGACCCTGAGCTGGACATGGGGGACACAGCAGTGAGACAGCAGACATCAGCCCTGCCCAGCCTGTTGGGCCCCCGATCCATGCCTTTCCACCAAACCTGCCCCTCATATCAGCAAGACCTGGGATAAGAATACAGATGGCAGCCCCCAGCTCCCAGCCCACCCTCCTTTCTTTTCACCTCCTTCTCTTCATGAGTACAAACGTGGGCAACCCAGCCCAAATGCCCACGCTCTGCCATGCCCGCCCCCTACATGTCGTCGCCTCGCCCAGCCTTTAGGTCTGGAGGAGCTTCCTCCAGTCATGCTATGCCCCCTCTAGGGTATGGGATGAGAAAGAGCCCCACGCAGCCCGGGGAGGAGGCTCAGCATATATGGGCAGGGAATTCTGGAGTCCAGGGACCCAGAGCATGGACTCAGGCGACAGGTGCAGGCTCCGGGTGGGCATGTCCCTCTGGCCCTGCAGATACCCTATCCCGGGGGCTGGGGTGGAGGGGAGGTGAGAAGTGCAACTGGAAGAGGGCCAGAGAAGGGTCATTAATTGTGGGGCCTGAACAGGGGCCCCCATTGCCCAGGTCTGAGAGCGACACTGCCCTCCAGAACCCTTCACAGCCTCCTAGGACAGTCTGGGGGAGCCCTGGGCCCCTCCCCCTCTTCCTCTCTGCCTGAGCCACCTTGCCTGCCCCTCTGGTCAGGACTGAGTCAGTGCAAGAGCCCAGCAGCTTCCATCTGCTTGGAGATGGGTGGGGTGTCCTTAGCTCCCCGGGGTTTGCCCAGAAGTAGGGTGAATCAGCGGTTGCCCCAGCTCTGGCCCGGCTGCCTGGGGCTTGTAAGGAAGACAGCAGACCCGTGCAGTCAGTCTGACGGGAATTGCTGAGACACCAGGCCAGTTTCCTGTCTCCGCGGGTCAGGATGTGACCCCGGGCCCCCTCCCGGAATCCAGGCTCCGGCCTGCCCTTTGGGGACCCAGCAAGATAGAGCCCCTGCCCAATGGCCCCCTCATCTGTCTGCTATGGACCTTTCTTCCCTGAGCCTCTTGGCTGCCACAGCTCATCTGCCACCCACCCACAGGAAATCTGAGGATGCGGAGGCTACGCAGGGGTGGACGGGAAAGCCGTTTCTGCGGGCCAGTGTTGGAAGACGGCGGCCACAGGTCGGGAGGGCTTGGGCTGGTTGCTGAGACAGCTGCCACACACATGCCCGCCGCCAGCTCATGTTTCTGGCCCCAGGGCTTTGCTTGTGCGGTGCCCTCTGCCTGGGACGCCCTTCACCACCCTCTCTGTCTGGCTGGACACCGAGAGCCTTTCACTAATGCCCCTTTCCCTCCCCAGCCCCGTGTGCCCCCCATTGCTAATCCCATCACCCTGTCAATGCCCACCTCTGCCTCCCCTGGCTTGGGAGTGGCTCAAGGGCAGAGGTCGGGTCTGTTTTCTCTTTGCACCATCAATACCCAGCACAGGCTGGGCACCGAGCAGGCACCTGGCCAGGACTGTTTGGTGGAGGGCACTGTCAGGCTATGGACCCGATTTCTGGGGGGGCCTACCTGGAGAGGAAGGTGCCTTCCATGTCACAGCATAGGGTCTGTGGGGCTGGGATCATGGGCCCCTGGGGCAGGGAGGCCAGGAGCTCCTGGTGGGGAGGCCCAGCTCCGTCAGGCTGGACCTCAGTGGCCCCCTCTGAAAAGAGATTCATGGCCCCTGCCTCAGCTACCTCGTAGCAATAACTTTTGGGGATCAAATTAGTGGACCGATGTGAAGATGTTCTGGAAACTATAGCATGCTTGTTAACAGCGGGGTATTTACAGGTGAGACCCGGAGGCCAAAGATAATAACATATAATAACAAGAAGATATTGGGCGCCTGGGTGGCTCAGTTGGTTGAGCGACTGCCTTCGGCTCAGGTCATGATCCTGGAGTCCCGGGATCGAGTCCCACATCGGGCTCCCTGCTCGGCGGGGAGTCTGCTTCTCCCTCTGACCCTCTTCCCTCTCATGCTCTCTCTCTCTCATTCTCTCTCTCTAATAAATAAATAAAATCTTTAAAAAAAAAAACAAGAAGATATTGTTGTTATATAATGTGTGTGTGTGTGTGTGTGTGTGTGTATAGAAAGATAATAACATACGAATAACAACAAGCAGAGCTACTGTAGGATGAGCAGTCACTCTGGGCAGCCCCGCACTCAATATTGGCCTGCTCTACCCCACCGGATCCTCGCAAACCCCCTGTGAGGGAGGTACTATTATCGTCCCCATATTTCCTGTGGAAAACCAAGGCCTAGAGAAGCGGCCCAAGGTCCTGCTGCTGTAAGGTGGGAAGGCAGACTTCGGTCTGCAGACGGTCCAGCTCCAGAGCCCGTGTTTGCACCTGCTGGGTCGAGGCCACCTAGCAGCGCGTTCTTGCACTCACGCCTTCAGCAAACGGTTATTTGCTATCTGCTGGGCCCTGGGCCAGATTCTAACACTGTGATTCTTCACTGAGTCCCTGAGCTCAAGAATTGTGTGGGTGTGGAAGAGTGAGGGGAAGGGGAGCCCCCTCCACGTGCCAGGTACTATATGAGGTGCTGGTCAGTGACGTATCCAAGGCTGAAGCCCCAGTCTCCTGAACCCCAGCTCTCTCTACCACCCCCTCAAACAGATATGCCTGACAGGCCTGGGGCTTGCAGCCTGGCTTCTTGGATTAAAAGCCAGATGCTCCACGGGCTGAGTCCTCCGGAAGAGACAGAGACCGACGGGAGGGTCTGTTGTCATGAGCTCTAGGAGGACATGAGTTACACTGGCATCGCACCGTGGCCCTAAAAACCCTCCAATGACTCTCACTGTCCACAGCAGAAAGACCAAGCTCCTTAAAATAGTGGCAGGGCCTTTGCATCTCCCCAGCCCTGCCCCAAGGTGAACTATAAGCTCCCGCCACAGTGAACCACATCTTGACCCTAACCACAGTCCACTCACCTGCCTGTGGCTCACTCTGTCCTCAGCTCTTCTCTACCACCTCTTTCACTCCTGGACATCTTACTGTTGTTCCTTCCTCCTGGAAGCCCTGTCGAATCCCACAGCAGCCGCCATACCCCTGTCCTGTGCTCCCAAAGAGAACACCCATCACCCAGATCCTGGCTGGCTGTCTACACATCTGTTTCCCACAGACCTGGGCACTTGGCAGGGGGCTTTTCTCGGACTCCGGCCCCTTGTTGAGTGATTGGGGGGGGGGCGGATCCCAGTCACCCAGTGACGGGTCATCAGAACAAACAAAATGAGCTTATAGAGGGCAATCTTACGTTCCGTATCATTACCAAACTGGAAAAAAATTACAATGGCTTTGGAAACCATATAACGTGTGTCTGGCACTATCTCAGTTTGGGGATTATCGAGGCCCACAGTCCTGGTGGCAGGCAGGGCGGTGGGGAGCAGGCCCCCCTCGATATTGGTGGTCTGGGCACCGTCTTATCACCACACAAACGCAGGGCAACTCAACAGTTTCAGGAGCAGCCTGGCCACAAGTTTACTGAGCTGACACCACTGAATCGCTATCAGGACCTGAGGCCACACCAGCCAGGTGTGGCCACCAGCCCAGGCAGGCCAAATGCTGCCAGGACACAGACCTGCTGAGGAGCCAGGCGACAGCCTAGTTTGGAGTCTCCCAGAATCTAGTGCGAACTCTGGCCTTGGGCGTGTGGCTTCACCTCTCTAGGCCTGCCTCAGTTTCCCCCTCTGAAAAGTGGGAGCAATAACAGACTCTGACAGATAGGCCCTTGGGAGGCTTCAGACATGGAAGATGTTGAACCCCATTCCTGGCTCTTAGTAGGCCTCTAACAGTACCTAGCACAGAGTGAGCCTCGCACAGAATCTAGCACACGGTGAGCCTGGCGCAGAACCTAGCGCATAGCAAGCACTCCACAAGTGTGTTATTATCATTAGGAGGGACTTCGGCTAATGCTGGACCTCAGTAGGGACAGTGGTCTCCAAGGTGGCATCACTGGCTTCAATCTCTGTGGGCTGCCTGGCCAGGTCACCGATGTTCAGTGGGGGACATTGTAGGGAGGGATATTTGAGCTCAACTGAGGGAAGCACTTGCTCAAAACCCAAGCTGCCTGGAGGGGAGCTCAGTCTGCCGAGAAGCACCAAGCTCCCCATCACTGCAGGTGCACAGGTGACAGCTCACCTGGTCCCTTCCACCGCTCACCTGGCTCTTCTCCACTCAGTCACTGGCCACACCCAGCCCTTCCCACCTGGGACTTGTGGCTTCCAGAAGACCTCCGTGATGCTGGCCCCAGAAATGCCATTCCTTACTGGCCCTGTGAAATGCCCACGTATCCCTCCTGGCAGGGACCCTCGTGAGGACACGCCCCGCTGTTCCAGGGACAGCCACAAGGAAGGCTCCCCTCATCCCATTGGCCCTGGGCCTTTCTCTGGGACCCCCAACCCCAACCCTGCCACCAAGCACTCACCCTTGAGGATTCCAGGAAGAGAATGTGAACTTCAAGGGTGGCATTGGGGACCTGAGCCACGCAGCCCTTAGAAACTTGACTCGTAATATATGTCACCTCGGCGTCCACAGGCTGTAGGTCACAATGGACTGTTTCTGCAAGACCTGTTGGGGAAGCACATCCAGAGAGAGCACCAGGTGAGAATACGGTGGTGACAGTCATTCCCAAGTTCCGAATGCCTAGCGCTTGGCACTGGCTTAGGGCTTTCTGCAGCCCCACAGCTACCCTACAAGGTGGATAGCATTATAACCATTCCGCAGATGGAGAAACTAAGACTCAGGAAGGAAAAGTCTCTTGCCTGAGGTCACAGTGTGACTAGGGGTAGGGCTGACAGATAAAATGCAGGATACCCGGTTAAATTTGAATAAATAAAAAAAAGATTAATTTTTAAAAGTATAAGTGTATCCCAGCTATTGCATGGGACATACTTACACTGAATTTTTTTTCGCTGTTTATCTGACACTCAAATTTAACTGGGCATCCTATATTTTTATTTGCTACATCCTGCAACCCTAGCTGTGGGGCTGAGCTCACAGGTGCACACATCCAAGCCTCCTGGCTGGTTCACTCCAAAGGGAGACAAGAGCTAAGATCGGGAGAGGAAAACTTCCCAAAACTTCCCCTCCTGCGCCTTGAGGAGGCTGGGAGGAACGAGGCCAAGGAGGGTTGAGTCTCCTGGCCCCAAGGGAGGGAGCGAGCCAGAAGGGCGGCCCGGGTTCAGAGGGCGGCTGTGGGAGGAGGCCTGGGCCACGGAGCCTGCTCCTGGGCTGCTCGGAAACCCAGGTCCTGAGGGAAGGCAATGGAATTTCACCCTGACCCAGCAGAGGAGGAAGAGGAAATGAGGCCCCTACACCTCGTCCTAAGGAATGTGCCGAGGAAGGGGGGGCTCCGGAGGAGGGAAGGAGGACAGAGAAGGGGGGACTGTTTGGAAGTTTGTGTCTCCATCTTGTCGCGCTCACTTCCTGTTTTCTTGGAGATCAAAGATGGGCGCGGAGGGGCTGGCCGCACGTCCAGCCGTCGCCAGCTCAGAGAAGGGGGGTAGGGAGGCTTCTTCCGAATCCCAGGCTATCGGGCAGTCTTCTTCCTAAGCCAGCGTTGCTGGGCTCAGGACCCCCAGAGGTCAGAGGAGGACTTAAGATGGCCGTCCCTAGCTGCGGCCATGCCACCCGCCCCGGCACCTTGGGAGGGATAATTTCAGGACGAGGTCGTTTGGCGACTGTGGGGGCCCAGACCCTGTAAATCCTTGCCCTGGCCCTTTCCTGTGTGCAAGGGTCACAGTGCGAGTGTCCTATGGCATTTTGATTCAAGGCAAGGTCCCTGGAGCCAGGCCAACCTGTGTTTGAATCTCAGGCCCGCACTTACTGGCTATGTGGCTTTGGTGAACGATTTCACCACTTTGGGCTTCAGTTTCCTCATCTGTGAAAGGACAGTTAGAACCCACAGAGGTTGTTGGGAGGACTCCATGAGAACAGGGCATATGGCAGTTCTTTGGGTTACCATTATTTGATTGACTTCAGTCATTGGAGGAGAATGGACTCTCTTAGGGGGTAGGGGTGAAGTGGTGGGATGGGGCAGTCTGCAGGTCAGTGGTGTCCCAGGCCAGCAGCCCCCCTCATCCCAGCAGACGCAAGGGCTGACACCAACTCCTGCTGTCTCAGCCCCTGGTGACCCAATAAGCCCCTCAGTGTTCCCCACGCCCCCTCGCTTTCCCTACCAGCGAACACAGATTTCTTGGCTGCTACCTGGTCTAAACCCTTCCTATACAGATGGGGAGACTGAGGCCCGGAGAGGCGGGATGTGCCAGAGTCACACAGCACGTGGCTGACCAGGCTGCGCCTCAGACCCACCTCTCTCTGCATGACCCGGGGTCTGGCCTGCAGATTAGCACAGTGACTTCCTCCTTTCCTTCGGACTTTCCCTGCCCCCTCCCCAGACTTCCAGGAACCCCAGTTCCTCCTGGATTGCCCGGGCCGCCCGGGGCCACCTCCTCCATGCCGTCAGCGGGAGAGGCCACGGGCCTGGCCATTATGTAATGATCAGATAACAGGCCAGGCTGGGAGATCAGATAAGAGGTCCATTTATTTTGGGGCCTTTTCGAATCCTGGCTGCCCCCACCCCGCAGACGAGAATGGGGAGACAGGAGGGAGTATGACGCCCGGGCCTGTCTCCCGGAGCCGGAGGCGGGCCCAGACAGAGCTGAAAACAATCCCCTGGCACCAAGGGAAACGCCAGGGCCTCCCGGGACCCGGGTTGGAGGAGGCGCCGCTAGGGGCCTGGGTGACCCGGCCCGAGTGAGAAACCCAGGAGCCACCCCCCCCACCCACCTCTGTCCCCTTCCTCCTCTGCCCCCACCCAGGAGCATAGAGCCACCTCGGAGCTTTCTGCCTGGCCACCCCAGCACCTTGAAAGGTCACAGAGAATAACGGTCAAGGAGAGCAACTCCAGAACCAGACGGCCCGGGGCAAATCCCAGCTCTACCCCTCAAAACAATGGTCACCTTGAGCAAAAGCCCAGCTTCTCTGAGTCTCAGTTTCCCCATTTGCAAAACAGCTTCCATCATGCTTACTGAGAGCCAGGTACTGTTGCAAGGCTTGACATGAGTTCATTCATTTGATTCCTGCAGCAGCCCTACAGGTGGGTACTCTTATTGGAACCATGTGATGCCTGGAGAGACAAGACCGCCCAGGTACAAGAATTTGCCCGAGGTCGCCCAGCTATTACGTCTCAGGGTCTGTATTTGCAGCTGGGCGTCCGCCTGGTACCCAGTAAGTGTTCTGAACACAGTGGCTGTGATTATTTCCTAATACAAGGGCAGAGCCTTTCCCACGGGCTTTCTCTGTTTTTTTCTCTTCTTCAATCACCCAGCTATCCATCCATCCTTTGCTCCTTTCAGGGTCCCATTACAGCCTCCCAGATGTCCCAGCATCCAGCTCAGCCACCCCCAGCGAGGCCTCAAGTCTCCCTCTCCAATCTTCCCCGTGGCTCCTCAGTGCCCGCAGGGTCAAGTCCACACTCCACCACCTAACATGGAATTAAAAAGTGCAGGGATCTGGGGCACCTAGGTAGCTCAGTTGGTTAAGCGTCTGCCTTTGGCTCAGGTCATGACCCCAGGGTCCTGGGATTGAGCCCCGCATTGGGCTCCCCACTCAGTGAGAGGTCTGCTTCTCCCTCTCCCTCTGCCGCTCCCTCTGCTTGTCCTCTCTCTCTCAAATAAATAAAATCTTAAAAAAAAAAAAAAAAAGTGCAGGGGCACCTGGGTGGCTCAGTCGTTAAAGTGTCTGCCTTCAGCTCAGGTCATGATCCTAGGGTCCTGGGATGGAGCCTAGCGTCGGGCTCCTTGCTCAGCGGGGAGCCTGCTTCTCCCTCTCCCTCTGCCACTTGCCCTGCTTGTGCTCTCTCTCAAATAAATGAATAAAATCTTAACAAAAGTGCAATGATCTGATGGATGCCAAGGTTCAGCTCCTGATTCTGCCACCTTCCAGCTTCCTCTCTGTGCCTCAGTGTTATTATCTGTACAATGGGGATGATGGCAATCACAATAGCTTACTCATCGAGTTGCTGCAAATGTTGGTCGGATGACACCTGCACAGCGCTCAGCAGGCTTGTGATGCATGAAGAGGCTCAGGACTGGCAACTGCTCTCATGAGAACTTATGCCCACCGGGGAGAGGTGAGCTCTTCCTCCAAACACACCTCATTCCCTGCGGCTGCCCTGCTTGCTCCCAGACCAACGGTCTTCCCTTACTTGACCTCTTGGTCAACTTCTGTTCAACCTTCAAAACCCTGTTGTGGGGCGCCTGGGTGGCTCAGTTGGTTAAGCGACTGCCTTCGGCTCAGGTCATGATCCTGGAGTCCCGGGATCGAGTCCTGCATCGGGCTCCCCACTCAGCGGGGAGTCTGCTTCTCCCTCTGACCCTCTTCCTTCTCGTGCTCTGTATCTCTCATTCTCTCTCTCTCTCTCAAATAAATAAATAAAATCTTAAAAAAAATAAAAAAATAAAACAAAACAAAACAACAAAAAAACCCTGTTGTGAATGTCGTCTTGTCAGGACTGATCTGGTGGCACTCTAGCTATGAGGGCCAGTGTCAGGGCAAGAAGGGGATCAAACCTCATCTTCCCCCAGGCAGTATGATGCGATGGGTCGACCCAGGGCGCAAGCCCCAGCTGCTCCTTCCTGGACTGTTACTTGGGCAAATTTCTTCACCTGCCTGTGCCCCAGCCTCCTCAGCTGTGCCATGGGGGAGACAGGAGTGTCTGCTTCACTGGGCCTTTGTGAAGGTTAAGGTTAAGACATTTGCCTCTTCACCTCCACCCCTACCCCACGTATGAAGCCAGCTCAGCCCTGGAGGATGGTCCTCTTCAGCCTGCAGGGCTGATGTCCCAAAGCCGGGGCTGGAGCTGGGTCTTAGTGTCACTCTCCGTCTGGCTGAGATGAGAGAGAATCTCAACGGTATGTCCTCACCACCCCCAGGGGCTCATCTCTCCTGGCTCACACAGCTCCTCTTTTACCTCCTGGCAAACGGGAAGCTGCCCTGAAGTGCGGGCTCTAAGAGACGGGCATTTGTGGTCTCTGTCCGGTGTCACTTGTCCCCTCTCTGGAGAGGCCCAGATCCCCACACAGGTGGTAGGCCGAGATCCCCAGCACAGGGCTCCAAGTCCCGCCTCTGTCCCTCCAGCGAAGGCTTGTCCACACTCCGCAAACACGCTTTGATCCCAGCCACCCAACAGGAGCCTCAAATCCCAGCACCCCCACTTCTGGGACTCTATCCAAGTGAAATACTCCAAAATACAGGAAGAGGTGCATGTACCAAAAACGTGCACGGTGGTGGTATTTATAACTAGCCTCAATGGGGAAACCACCTAGATATTCAACAATAAGGGATTTGTTAGACAAACGACGGGATGGCACATCTAAGGGACAGAATATTCCGGAACCACAAGGGGACAGTTATGGAGTCTACATGACAACATAGAAACTTTCTGGGTCATGAGAAGGGTCCCCCAAGACTCCCAAATGTTGATCCATCTGCATTAAAATTACCTTAAAGAGCTAAACGAAAGCTAGTACGCAACCCACCTAACAATGCCTATGTTAATGATGGAACTTGGGAAGTGATCTTTTTTTCTCCTTATCTGTTTTCTTTGAGTAGACTTAAGTGACTATATAATTAAATTGCTCTTTAAAAATCTACATGTTTGCTCTTTAAAAAAATATCCCAACGTGGCAAAAAAAGTGTCTTTAGAGACAATTCCCTAGAGAAAGCTTGTGCTGGAGAACAGAGACCTCGGGATTGTCCCCACGTGTACCATGCACTGTTCCTTTTTTTTTTTTTAAGATTTTATTTATTTGACACACAGAGAGAGAGAGAGAGATAGTGAGAGAGAGAGCACAAGCAGAGGGAGTGGCAGGCAGAGGGAGAGGGAGAAGCAGGCTTTCCACTGAGCAGGGAGCCCGACGCGGGGCTCGATCCCAGGACCCCGGGATCATGACCTGAGCTGAAGGCAGACGCTTAACCGACTGAGCCACCCGGTACCCCTGTTCCTATTTTATTCTGGCAGTAGTGGAGTCACTGCTTTGGGAGCACCTAACGCTGGGTCCCAGACATCCGTGCACAATAGTATAGATCCAAATTCAGCTTTTTCTCGGTTTCGACTGGTATTTCACTGAATACTAATTCTTTTGCTAGGGCCCAGGCTGATGGACATTTGGGTGGTTTCCAGTTGGGTTTTTGTTACAGGCACCTATGGACTATATGGATCTTGACAGACTTGGGCAAGTAACTCCAAAAGGCTGAAGGTTGAGCCCGTACACAGGTTAGGGTATTAAGAGATTCTGCCAAGCTGTGTTCCCAGAAGGCTGGACCACTCTTGGACCTGTTTTGGACCCATTTTTACCCTCTCCGGCCTGACTGAGGATGCCTGGGTCACTCCCATCCCCCACCCCAGCGTGGAGATCTGGGTTCCACACCCTGACCCGGGCCTCCGTCTGCCCTCCAAGGGCCTCAGTTTCCCAGACTGTCAAAGAGTTGGGCTGGATGGTTTGGAATGTCCTTGAACCCTATGATCACTGGGATACTGGTACCCACTCCCAGGAGCAGATTGATAAATTATCAGTTTTTCCAACTGGCTATTAAACATAGCCATTATTAAAAATTAAATTTTGGGGGGCACCTGGGTGGCTCAGTAGGTTAAGGTTCTGCCTTCGGCTCAGGTCATGATCCTAGAGTCCTGGGATAGAGACCCATATTAGGCTCCCTGCTCAGTGGAGAGTCTGCTTCTCCCTCTCCCTCTGCCCCTTCCCCTGCTAGTTCTCTCTCTCTCTCTCTCTCTCTCTCTCTCTCTCAAATAACATCTTTTTAAAAAATTGAATTTGGGGGCACCTGGCTGGCTCAGTCAGTGGAGCATGTGACTCTTGACCTCAGGGTTGTAGGTTCAAGCCCCACACTGGGTGTACGGATTACTTAAAAAAAATAAAATCTTGGGGCACCTGGGTGGCTCAGTTGGTTGAGCATATGCCTTCGGCTCAGGTCATGATCCCAGGGTCCTGGGATTGAGCCCCGCATCGGGCTCTCTGCTCGGCAAGGAGTCTGGTTCTCCTTCTCCCTCTGCCTGCCGCTCTGCCTACTTCTGCTCTCTCTCTGTGTCAAATAAATAAATAAAATATTAAAAAATAAATAAATAAAATCTTAAAAAAATTAAATTGTATAAGCTTAAAAATAAAGTACATTTTAAAAACGGTAGTAAATATCAAAACTAATTACTTCCTATTTTACTATATTCTATGCTCTTGAGGTCAGATGTCTGTTGCATCTGTGTGGTAGAAATATCGGGCAAAGGTCCTGGGGACACTGCATCCCAACTGCAAGCTTGGTGAGCTGGTAGCTTGAAATCAGCCATGTGGGAACATTTACACCCTGGACATTAACAAATACTATCCCCAACGCCCTCCACCCCTGTTGTTCATTATTTGCCAGCACACCACTGCCTTCCATCCTATAAAACCAGACCCTAAAGATCTACAGGGATCTTCCTCTGATGATGACAAAGATGGCAGTGTTATCAAGCTAGAAATGTGGGAGAGGTAGGAGAAAGGCAGGGCAGCCTTCAGGCCTGTTGTGGAGCTCAGGTGGGCTTCTGTCTGAGCTGCGTGAACTTGGCAGATCACAGCCTCCACTTACTGTAAAATGGGGCGATACAGGCAGCCATCTTACGGGGTTGCCAGAAGTTATATGGGGGCGGGGAGGTGCACATTACACGTGGTTAGGAGCCACAAGTCTAGGGTCAAATCTGTGCTAGGTCACTTAGTGTCTGCGACAGTTTCCTGTGATCCGTGAGGCAGTCGTAGAGGTCTAGAGACCGAGGACTAGGGGCTTTAAAATGCCACAAGGTGGGATCAGGTAGGGAGGCGGCCACCATTGTGCTCTTCCCCTATGTTCTCCCCCGACTCCCAACACCAGATTCTTTAGAGAGTTTCTGGATGTGCCATGGGTGAAGGGGTGCCCATAGGGCTGTCCTGTGGCTTTAGGTGGGTGAGGGGCAGACACAGCAAGGCCCACATGAATGGGATGAAGATAATGGGAGTCCCCAGCTCCTCATGGCCTCTCATCTGGTCAGTTTCGGAAGGCTGCAGAGCCATGACTGCCTGGAAGAGCCCCCAGGCTGAGCCGCCCCCACAGAACCCTTAGTCTGGGCCTGTGTCCCCACCCTGCCGCATTCTTGAAGAAGAGAGGGTGAGTCGAGGCAGAGAGCGAGAGCTAAGTTCAAGAGTGTTCTGGGTGCCACTCACAGGCCCCGGGGAAGTGAGAGGCAGGAATTTAAAGCTAATCATAAAGCCACAATAACAACACAGAATCCTCCAGCCTGCTCCGGAGCTCTACAAGCACGGCCTCACGGCCACCCCCCACAACAGCCCCCGAAGAGTTCCATTCCCATCCCCGCTTTGCTCAGCGGCCCAAAGGCAGTCCCCCAATATCACACCGCGAGGAAGTAACCATGTGAGATTTGAACCAAGAGCCCTAGTGCTGACTGTGAATCCACACGCCCTCCTTCCCACAGGTTCCTCAGATGGGAACCTTAAGGCCCAGAGAGGGCAGGAGACCCTCCCAGGGCTGCACAGCACTCTGGGACCTGGGCTTCCTGGGGGAGAAACTGGACATAGCTGGGAGGGCAGAGGCCGGGGTTAAGGCAAATAACTCATGCCCATTTGCTTGAGACGTTTAGGGCTGAAAGGTCTTTGTCTTGCCAAACCGGGGTGGTTGGTCACCCTACGGTGTCCACCTTGGGCTGTCCAAACCCCCCTGGACAGCCCCACTGGGCATGAGGTCAGGACCAGGGTAGAGGCCAGGAACACTTGGGGCCGAGTCTCCCCACCTGGGGTCCCTGGACACCTACTTGTGGGCCTGAGGCTGCAGACGGCCAGCAGTAGGGCAACGACCAGGGGAAGCGTGCGGCGGTCCATGCTGTCCACCAGGGGGTCTGTGCGCTGGGCCTTATCCGGTGTCCAGGGGCAGGGCTGCGGGCGGGCGTGGGGGCCGGCGTGGGCGCGAGCGGGGACCCAAGGGGAACAGGCAGCCGGAGCGACGGCGTCCCTGCTCCAGCCTTCTGAGGTGGCGGCCGAGAGGTCAGGAGAAGTGGGCACGGGGGCGCAGGGCCGGGCCGGGGGTCGCTGGCCGAAGGATGAGCGGGGAGGGGGTGCTGGGCTCCTGCGGACGGCAGCTGCGGCAGGAGTCCCGGCCTGGGGATGCGGCTGGAAGCTGGGGTATGACCGGCAGCGGTGGGGAGCTCCCGGCTCATCCAGCCTGGCCCGGGGAGGCAGGAAATGCGCTTCCTTAGAGAAGGGGCCGGGCCAGGCGGCCTGCCAGGCGGGGAGAGGAAGTGCCGCGGGCTTTGTCGCTGGGTGGGGGGCCCGGTTGGGGGGGGGGGGGAGGCGGGGGGGGGGGGGGGCCCAGGCTCCAGGCTGGTCTCCTCACACACCCCACCCTCTCCAGGGCCGGCTGGTGGGGCGCATCTGGCAGCCCCCAGGGGGCAGATGAAAACAATCACCCTACCAGCCCACCAAGGAGACCTTTCAGAGGCCAAGCCCTGACCAAGGAGGCTCAGGTGGAGCTCATAGCCCCTTGAACTCAGGTGTTCCCATTTTGCAGATGAGAAAACAGAGGCCTGATGGGGTGAGATAATTGGCCCCAAAAGATGGTGGAGCTGGGATTTGAACAGGTGTCATCAAGCACCAAAAGTGGCTTACATAAGCCTGATACTGGCTCGTCATTCCTTGCTTTGCAGGCAGGGAAACTGAGGCCCCGGATAGGGAAGGAACGCTCCCAAATGGCAGCTGGCGTTGAGGTCTCAGGGCCCAGGGAGGACAGGGGAACGTTGGGTCTGCCCCCTCCGTGGGTGGAAAATCCCCCAGGGACATAGGACAGCCCCAAATGAAAGCGGGACACTCTTTAACAGCGTTTCTGAAGTCAGATGGCCCTGGATTCAAAGCCCCGCTCTCCTTGCTCTGAGCTACGAGACCTCGAGCAAGGTTCCACAACCTTCGGGCACCCTGTTTGTAAATTGGGCACAATGGTGCTTTCTTGGCCAGGCTGCTGTGAGATTTGGGGAGGTCCGAGCACTATGGCGCTGAGCTTGGGCCCGGCCCAGGAAGCACTCCCCACATCAGTGCTTCCGCAGCCTGGGAGAAAATGCCAGAACTGCCTCTTGTTCATTCTGCAAACAGTAAGCGCCAACTGTGTGCACACCATGGCGTTGGTCCCGGGTAGCACCTAGGGTCAGGCCAAGGGAGCTCAGAGGAAGCAGCCTGAGCTGCCTGGCCTCTGAAGGACTGGGTGAGTCGGGGGAGAGGCGTGGAAGAAGGGGGTAAAGAAGGTGCATTGGCAGGGGACCAGCCCCAGCAAAGGCGCAGAGGCAGGAAGTGGTTGGACCACTGTGGGACATGCAGGGGGTGTGGTGGGGACAGGAAGCCTGGAGAGGCAGACTCTGGCCCAGCTCTGGGGGGGCGGGGGGGGTGCCTTGAATGAAGGCCAGGGGGTATCATGGAGGGTTCTGGGGCGGAAGGTGCTGGCTTTGAGAAGACAAGTCGTGCTGCACGCTGGCAGGACCCACAGACGGGATGGAGCCCGGAGGCCCTTCTCTTTATCCTTGTCCTGGGTCACAGATGGAGAAATGGCGTGCCATTTCTCCCCCGCCCAGGGAGGGAGGAGAAGGCCGGAGCCCTGGGTGCCTCTGGAGGGAGCAGAGCAGGAGTGTATTTGTCTCTGCAGGAGCTGAGACGGGGTGGGAAGTGTGGGCGTGGCTCCTTGGGTGGGGGTTGGGGGAAGGTTCACCGCCCAGCCCTGGAGCTGCCTGGCCAGGCACGGGTGTGGGTCACGGGAGCCCCCTCCATGTCCTGCAAGTGGGAAGGCCGTGATGGGGAGGATGGGGCCATCCCCTGACCAGCAGCTTCTCTGCCTGTTCCTGGGGGCGCAGAGATGGGGAGGTGGGCATGCCCAGGCAGAGGGCGGGGATGATGGGGGGGGCTGTGAGGCTCCCCAGGCCCCAGGACCTCAGAACAGGGTCTGTACCTCAGGGACAGTTAATCCAGCCCCAGGGGCTGAACTCCCCAGGGCACCAGGCCCCGCCCTAGGCTGTCACCTTATCAGCTCTGAATCCTCACAGCCACCCCTGGAGGCCAGTGACATTAAACCATTTACAGAAGAGGAACCCCAGGCTCCCTGGAATTTACATGACCCCCAGCAGGAAAGTGGAGACCTCAGGGCTGCCTGGCTCCAAGCTCACCTCCTTCTCTGCTACATGTGGAGAAGACCCATGTCGCCGTGGCTGCGGGTGTCACAGGGTGCGGAGCATCCGGGGCCATAGCAGGGACCCCATGGGAGGCTCCCCCCGAAACTTCCTCCCTCCCACTTCCCCCCATGCTGCACAATCCATCGCCATGCACGTTCTAAACAAGGCCCACTGGATTCTCTAGAAAGCAGGGGAAGCTACAGGCAGACCCAAGGAAGAACTTTCAGGGACAGAAAAAACTACGGGCAGTTACAGGAGGGCCTGGAGCCCTGACCCCGGAGACCTTGTGGAGGAAGAAAGAGATTGGGACCCCCCATTTGTGGAGAGGAGGTCACCCCAGGCCTCCCCACCACGCCCTAGCCTGTGTGGAGTCCTGTTGTGTGAGTCTCTCCGCTTGACTAGAAGGCCCTTGAGGAGGGACTCTGATACATCTGCACTGCTGTGGCCCCAGCAGAGAGCCCAGGACACTTTGGACCTTAAGATACCTTTATTGAAAGCACGAAGTACCCAGGAAGGTAAGGCAAGAGTGGGGGCCATGGAGGCACAGGGAAACTGAGGTACAAAGAGGCACGTCTTGCTAGTCTTCCCAGTGGAAAAGGCCAGTCCTCGTCTGGGTCGCCTATCCCTGGGAAGCTTGACGGTCATATGGTCTCACAGCTGGGGACAGACCTTGGGTTGGCTATCTTCCATCTCCATCTCGATGGACGCATCTACTGCCTCTCATCCCCCTCAGCCCTGCACAGATAACAGGGAGGGGGAAGGAGGAGGAGGAGGGCTTTCATTCCTCTGGCTCTTTCCCTGTAGAATTACTGTAAATTAGTGGCCTCCCTCCACCGAAGGCCACAGCCCTGACCAGGCCCTCTCTAGGCCAAGGGTGGTCATGGCCCACACTGCCGTCCCTTGTGGTTTCCCTACACCCTGTCCACACCTGGGTAAACAGACCCTTCATTAAATTCTCAAATTATCCCATTGGAGCATGCCATCTGTTTCCTGTTGGGGCTCTGACTGATACAAATGCTTTCAGGTGCCGCCTCGCCACACGCCAAGGAGACATGTGGCCAATGGCCAGGGCCCTGTGCCCCGACCCCACAGTGGGCAGGTGCACAAATTCTGCTCCTTCCTCCTCCTGGCTGGCTGGGAAGGCCAGGGCTACAGGAAGGGACGGAGCACGTCTACCCTGGCCACTAGCCACAGGAGGAATTTTAGGCAGTCCCTGGGGAACCCCCCAGGCGGCTGTCTGTCTCCAGCACCGGCCTGGAGCCAGGGGCTGCTGAGGACATCAGGGCCAAACCCACAAGAACAAGGGAGAAAGTGGGTACACAGAAAAGAGAGCACGGGACTGGGAGTCAGGGTATCCAGGCTCTGTCTCAGGTGGCTTTAGGCAAGCCCTTTCTATGCTCTGGGTCTCATCTTTCTTCATCTGCACCATGGGAGGACAGCCTGCTGGCCTGGAGAAGCTTAAAGTCCAGGACGAGAATCAGAATCACTCCACCATTAACCAGCTTGTCCAGCCCTGTGCCAAGTGCCAACTTACAGCCACCTAATGGCCTGAGACTGTCACGTGTCCATTTTACAGTGCAGGAAACTGAGACTCAAGTGTGCATGACAACAGGGTTGGGGAGAAGCAGAGGATAATAATTCAGGTCTGAGCCCGTATTTCATCCCTTGGCTTCCAGAACATTCCGTCTTGTTCTTCCCCCTTCCCTGGTCACCTTATCTGCCTCCTTACTCATTCCTCCTCATCCTCCCAGGCTTGGCCCCCGGGCCTCTTCCCTTCTGTTTACCCTCGTTCCCAGGTCAGGTTTTCACAAACCTTTGGGACCATTACCTTGTGTCCCAGCACAAACCCCGAGACTCAGACCCAAACAATCGCAACATTCTGTGAACCTATATATGCCCTTACGATAGGCATTCATCTTGTCTCATTTCCTTTCCAATACTGATCACAAGCCACTCTATCGATTTCATCACCCACCAGCAGGTCTTGCCCATAAAATATGATGCCTTGCTTCCCTGCTATTCCAGCTGTGGTCTTAGCATCTCCTGAGAGCTTCTCTCTGGCCCTGCCCCAGACCTGCTGACTCAGAACCTACATTTTACCAAGACCCCCAGGGCATCTGTGTGCACATTAAGTTTGACAAGTGCTGTTCTGGGTGCCCTCATCCAGACAAATGGCTTTAAGTACCATCTACATAGACTGATGGCTCCCAGACTTCTACTCTCCTCCTGGCTCCAGGCTCCTGGGTGTAACTTAAGCAGCTCAGACCTCATGTGTCCAGTACCACGTTCTGTTGCTTCTGTGCCAACTATTCCCGTCTTGGTGCCTCCATCTCAGACCCTGACAGACCCCTCCTCTCACTGCTCAAGCCTTGAGGGGTTCTTGACTCCCACACCCTTCCTCCAACCAACAAGCGAAACTTGGCGGCGGCTCTCCCAGTTTTCCAGTGTTTGTGGGGCTCCCACCACCCCATAGCTACCACCCTGGTCACCAGCAGCACCTCCTAGAATATGGCAGTCACCTCCTTAGGGAGTTCCCTTGCTGCCACCCTTACCCCAGCCCATTCTGCACACAGTAAAAGGGGGCTATTAAAGTTGAGCCAAGTTCCATCCCTCCTGCTCAGCACCCATCTTGGGTCACCATCTCATTCGGTGTAAAAGCCAGAGCCCCTCAAATGGCCAGCAAGGCTTCCCCTGTCCCTTCTCCAACCTCATCTTCTGTTCTGCTCCCCCTCGATCCCCACACTCCAGCCACGCTGGCCTCCTTGCTAGTCCTGGAGTGTGCCAAACACACACCCACCTCAGGGCCTTTGCACTTGCTATTCCCTCTCCTTGAAACACTCTCCCCCTAGATAACCACAGGGCTTTAAGTCACGGATCCAATGTCGCATGGTCAGTGAGGGCTTCCCTGGCCATTGCATTTAAAATAGCCCCCTCCCCACACCAGCGATTGGTCTCCATCTGACACACTATATATTGTTTTTTTTGGTCTGTCTCCCTCTCTAGAACAGAAGTTCCATGAGGGCGAAGGCCTTGCTTTGTTTGCTGCCCGATCCCCATCACTTCAAATAGCGCCTGGCCTGTGGGAGGTGTTTGAGAAATACTGTCAGAATAAATGAATGGGCTAGCAGCTTGAGGTTGCATACGCTGTGATTCTGAGGCCTCAGGGTGTGGGTGTTGGAAGCATGTTGAGCCAAGGACAAGGCCTCTGATGAGGGGGAATGATTCCCTAAGGGCACATGGTGGTCACAAGGGTCAGTGGTCCTGCCAGACTGCTCTGTTCTAGAAGAGAGAAGTCCCTCAGGGTTTCCTTCTCATTCCCCAAGGACAAGTCCAGGTACCTGCTGCTTCCCAAATGTTGGCCTTTCTGATGAATCCCACTCCCCAAGGTCCAAAGAACCCATGAGCACCACGTAGGAGGCAGAATTCCACTGGGTCAGGATTCTAGAACCTCTATGTTGTAAGGCTCAGTGTTCGTAGGAAGAAAACTGAGGCCCACGAAGGGGAGAGACTCACCCAGCACTCCATGAACCATGGAGGGCAACACAGGCAGGAGACCCTGTACCAGAACCCCAAGAAAGGGGCAGAAGCCCAAGAGGCAGGTGAGGGTCGAGCCCGGTGCCCCTGCCTTGCTGTGTGACCTGGGACAAGTCACACAACCTCTCTGGGTCAGCTTCCCCAGCGAGGAAGCTCTGTGCTCACAGGCCGCACATGTGCAGTAGGACTCTGGCCCCCCACCCCTCCGAAGCCCCCCCCCTCACTGTGGAGCCGCCAGGCCTTCCTGTTTACTTGAGGCCCCTCTCGAGGCTGGGAGGCGGCAGCCTTGGCCTCCTCTGCTCCCCGCTTCCTTCCTCTCCCACTTCAGCGCCTCCGGCCAGGCCGTCAGGGCCCTCCAGGCCAAGACTTAGGGGCGCAGTCCGCGGGGGGGGGGCATCTGAGGCCACCACCTCCGCAGAGCATTCTCTCTCTGTCTGAGACCCTGAGGTCTCTGGCTGGTCAGAATGTTCCGGCACTTTGGGACAAGCCGTTGCCTGGAGCATCCCTAGAGACGTGAGGAATGTGACAATTGCGGTACCTCCCGCCTGGTCACATGCCACGCCCACCTCCCAGCCCACAGGAGCAGATGAGCAGGCGTTCGCTGATCCTACAGACACCCCCTCCTCCCCACCCCCGGCAGCCAGGCCTCCGCTGAGCAGGCTCTCCATGAGCTACCCAAAGTGTGGGCCACGGACCAGCAGCCAAGCCTCACCGGTCAGGGCAGCCCTGCTGAAGCAGAATCAGCTTTTTAAGCAGAGCCAGGAGCTTTGCGGGCCCTTGTAGGCTGGACACGCTGCAGTGCTGGCCCCCTGCCTGGTTTTAATGGCCTTCCTGAGCCTCACCTCTTAGGTGTTCTTGCCCCAAAGGCTGAGCCTGAATCCATGAAGGCTTTACAACTAACTTCCAGTTTACAAGAAATTTAGGAAATGGAGGAGCAAGTTGGACACCAGGAGGAAGCAAAGGGTGAATCTGGAAAGAGCTCTCTGCAGGACAGTTGTCATAACAAGGATTCTAGGTTGAAAGAGTTCTGACAGATATCACAACCAAGGGCGGCCTGTGATCCTGGGTTGTACCCTGATTTGAACAAAGACACATTTTGGGGACAATTGGGCAAAATTGCATGTGGGCTGATTATTATAAATTACAAAATCAGCATTAACTTAGTGTTATGGAAACTCTGAGCTGTGGTTTTGAAGGAAGATGCCCTTATTTTGTAGAATCATACTTTAGGGGTGAAGTTTTTTTCTTCATATCTGTAATTTACTGCAAATACTTTGTCAAAAGTCAAACAATAATTTAGGAAATATAGGGAAATGACAGAAGTTACTAAATGTTGCTGATGGGGGTTCATTATATTATTTCCTCTAATTTTCAGTTTGTTTGAAATTTTTCATTAAAGAAACTTTCTTTAAAATTTTTTTTTTAATTTTAGAGAGAGAGCATGCATGGGGGGAGTGGGGAAGGGAGAGAGAATCCTCAAGCAGACTCCCTGCTGTGTGCTGAGGCTGACGCAGGGCCCTGAGATCATGACCTGAGCCAAAATCAAGATTCAGATGCTTAACCGACTGAGCCACCCAAGCGCCCCCCCCCCCAAAAACTCCTGAGCCTCCCATTGCCCTTAGGGGAGAGACTAGATACTTGGGTCAGCATTCAAGGCCCCACAAATCTGGCCCCTCCAGGCTTGTCTCTTGCTCCTGCACCCCCTCTCACCTGCATTCCATCTAACAGGCCTCTGTGGCTCTTCAGAGCTCTCCCCTCCACCCCTCCATGACCTCTCTCACGGGGAAGTGAGCTCCTAGGTATCTACAAGGCCCGGCTCCAGAGCTCCACGTCAAGGAACCAGCTGCACGACGGAAACCCTCGGAGGAAAGTCTGTGGTGGCAAGGATGGGGTGGCGGTTACTAGACCTTTTACATTTCTGTGTTTTGGTTGTTTTTTTTTTTTTTCCCCAAGTTTTCCCTAACTTGTTAAGTGAACGAGGTGATTCTGTGGCGAACAGTAGTTTGGGTCAGCCTTAGGTTCTCATTAAACTGGGACACACCTGAATCGATGAAGCTATAATTAAAAAAAAAAAGATCACGAAGATGCTCCTGTCAGGTGAGTTCTCTAGCTCTTTATCATCTTTGGCGTGTCTTCCCCACCCCTCCTCACTTGATCTGGACAATCCTGAGCTCGAAGATGGGGGTTGGGTGTGTATTAGTCCGCTCGGACAGATGTGACATGGAGACCCAGAGGTGGTAGGTCACGGAGCAATTGGGGCTCCCCTGCACACCCCAGCTGGCCTGGGGAACAGAGACCAGGGGCAGAGGCCTTCCCCATGCCCACCCAGCCCGGAAGGCTCATCCCCACTCGATGCCTGCCTTCTCCTACCTCCCCTGTGCTCTCACTTATTTGTCTTCTTCTTTCAAAAGACTCACTTTTATAACTTAAATATGTTTATTTTAAAGGAAAGTTTAAGTAACGTGGACGGAAAACCAGCCACACTTGCCATAAATAAAAGGGGACACAGCATGGGCATAATCAGCCCCACATGGGGCCTTGTTCCGGCCAGGTGTGGCCCACTGAAGGCCCTCCTGGTTCTAAAGGGACTCAGCTGGGGCTGGGACAGGTGTTAAGGACACGTGAGCACCAAGTTGAGCCTTTCTCGGTGATGAGGTCACAGTGAAACAACAGGAAAGGGAAGATGGTTCTCCCCTGGGGGATTCTGGGGCACCCTCCCCAAAGCACCCCAGCCCTGCTCATCTCCAAGGCCACTCTGGTCTCGGCTCCCACGGCCATGGTGATTGCCAGCCTTACAGCCCCGATTGGTGTGTTCTTGTCCTCACCTTGAGGGGTGGGGGTTGCAGGGGGCATGGACCCTAACTCAGATTTGGAAATGGGCTCAGAAAGGGCAGGTGGTGACCTGTCCAGGGACGTACGGCGGGAGGCCCTCCGTGTCTCACCTCCTCAGGGAGGTACTGCTGACCATTCAATCTCGATGCCCTTTTCAGACCCTCAGAGCTTCTTGTGCCCAGGAAGCCAATTCCTTGCCCACCCAGACAGCTGACGTGCGCCATCCTCACTGCCCGGGAAGCACCCCCACAGCCGATGACCTAGCTTCCTGCTGCACACAGGCCCCAGGGGCGTGAAGCGCAGAGAACCTGCTCAGAGAGATGAGGAGTCAGGGCCAAGGCCACCCAGCAAGGATTTGGAGGAACCCAGGTCGGGGCCCAGCTGTGCCTCACTGTCAGTCCCCGAGAACAAGGATCCTGCCTCAGTCACCCTGGAGCCCCAGGCCCGGCATGCCCTGGGTGAGGAAGGGCCCTGGGTCTTCCCGTGGTAGTGGGGGTGGGGGGGAACAGCTGGCTCAGGTGGGCTGAGGGGCTAGGAGAGGCCATACCACGTGGATCAACTCCAGTGAAAGCAAAGAAAAAGGAATAAAACCGAATGTCCTTGGAAATGCCTTTAGTGCTTGGCTGTCCATGAAAACAGGATAAAGTGGCTTCCTCTGTCTGTGCTCCAGCCGGGCAGGGTGGAGGCGCTGAGCTCAGGCCAGGACAGCCTCAGGCAGGACAGGGGTGGGGCGGGGCTCGGTTGGGGAAGGGCTCCGTGCTGCTACTTGAGGGCATCCAGGTGGGTGCAGACTTGGGAGAAGACACTGTCCACCGAGCCTTCGGCATTGACCTGTGGGGAGATGGCCGGGAGGGCAGAGATGATGGGAAGGGCTGGGTGGGCCCCACCAAGGCAGGGGCTCACTTCCCCCAGAGGCCTGGCCTGGCTCTCTGAGCCCAGCCACAGGGGGACAGCAGCCCATCACCGAGCCAGTGGGGAGACCAAGGCCTGGCCCAAGGTCACCGGAATTTTGGCCACCCCAGGCAAAAACCCGTTTCTAGGGCTACCCGCGGCCTGCAGGGGGCGCACCTTGCGTACGATGCCCCGTTTCTCATAAAAGGTGATGACAGGTTCCGTGGCTTTGTAATAGGTCTCCAACCGCTTCTTGATGGTCTCCTCATTGTCATCCACTCGCCCGCTGGTCTCCCCGCGCTTCAGGAGCCGCTGGGTCATGGTCTCCGGGCCTGCGTCCACATACAGCAGCAGTGTGGGCTGTCCGATCTGCGGGCGGAGCGGTACTCATAGGGGCCCCATTCCGGCCCCCTGGGGCCACCTCCTCCCCATGCTCCCAAGTCAGAGGCCCCACCTGAGACCCACTCAGACCTCCAAGCCCTTCCCCAAGGCAGCCTGAGGGACCTTGCAAAAACCACTCCCCTGCTCCCAACCTCTCCCATAGCTCCCCAGTGCCCTCAGAAGAGAGCCTCACGCCCTCCTCCTCTCGTGTTTCCCACTCCTTCGCTCTTCTTGCTTCGGCCACACTGACTCTCTGTAGTCTGGGCTCTCGCCCACCTCCTCCCATGCCAGGCCTTTGCTCATGCCAGGAACCCTTACCTCGATACAAAGTGCCGGCCTTCAGATTTGAACAAAAATCTCATTTGTCCGGGGCAGGCTTCCTGGATGCCACCCCCACCACCATCCCCAGCTCCCTGGGACACCCTCTTCAGTCCCCTCTCCTTCTTCACCCAGAATGCCTCAGGAGGCCTCTGGTTATTTACTCAGTGTCCCTCTCCCCTGCCAGGCCAGGAGCCCCTGGGGGCAGCAAGGCATCTCATTGGAATAAGCGTTTCATCCACCGCAAAGGGCAGGAAGGAACAAGGCTGACCTGTCTTCCTTCGGCGAGGCCCTGATGCCCCCTGGTGTCCAGATCTGAGAAGCCCAGGTGCCCGCACCCTTGGAGGCCATGGCAGGGCTGGGCCCTGTGCGGAGCCCACAGCCCACAGAGCGCCCACAACAGCCCCAGGAGGGAAGGAGGCTTTTAGTACTCTCATTTTCCAGATGTGGCCCTGAGGGTCGGAGGTGACATCACATAGCTGGTACATGTGTGTCATGACAAGGACACGCTTTGAGGCTGCCTAGCACCTGACCACAGTGTCCATGGCCTCCTAGTCTGGCGGAAACCCAGCCCACTTCCGTTTTAACGATAGGGAAACTGAGGCCCACAGCAGGGTAGACACTTTCCTGAGGTCCTGCAGGCACTTAAAGGTTGGAACATGAAATCTTCTACCTCTGGATGAGGCTCAAACTACGGAAGCCCAAGAAGGCCCCAGCCTCACAGGCTTGGGAAGTGGGGATTGGGGGTCTGGTCCCACCCCAGCCTATTGGGATGCCTGGTCCTCCCCACGACGCTGGGAAGGAGTCCCTCTGCCAAGAAGCCCTCCTTGAGCCAGCCCCACCCCTCGCCTCCCCCCACTTGCAGCTCTGTTTCCCTAGTATGACCTGTGACCGCAGAGGTATGTGTGTGTGTGTGTATGTGTGTGCCCATGCATGTGCATGCGTGTACATCCATGTGTATAAGTGTGCTGTGTCCACATGCATGCATCACATGAGTACGTGTATGTGCATTGCCAGGTGTGTGCACACGTGTGTGCTCTGTGTGTGCGCGCATATACATGAGCTTGTGTGCCTGTGTTTGGGAGCAGTGCCCCCACCCTGTTTTCCTGCTGGGCATCTGTTTCAGGCAGCTCGGAGCCATCATCCTTGAGGCCTACTTTTTTTTTTTAAAGATTTTATTTATTTGACAGAGAGAGCACAAGCAGAGGGAGAGAGAGGGAGAAGCAGGCTCCCTGCTGAGCAAGGAGCCCAATGTGGGACTCGATCCCTGGGCCGAAGGCAGCCACTTAACTGAGCCACCCAGGCGTTCCTGAGGCCTACTTTTTCCGGTCAGACTCCCCGTGGCCCATGGAAGGAGACTGGACTCCTTGGCCTCAGCGGTCTCCAGCCAGACCTGAACCCCCTATCCCACAGCAGTCCTGGTTGCCCTGCCCCTAGATTCTGTTCTCCCCACACCAGCCTGACCCTTCCAGCCCTGTCCATCCTGCTCCCTGCCCCTCTGACTATGGGTTTATAAGGTGCCAAGTCCCACTTTGGAAGGGTACATTCTCTCTAATTGCATTCTGCTCCTTAAGGCAGCTGTTGCCAACCGTGTCCCCCCATTTTGCAAATGGGGACACTGATGAGGTTCAAGGAGGCAGAACGATTGGCCGAAGGCCTGTTGAGCTAGAACCTGAGCCCAGGTTTGTGAGCTCCCCAGCCTGTGCTTCCTCTCCCTCTAGAGTTTTCTTCTAGACTTCTAGAAAGACTTCTAGAAACTCTTCCCCAGTTTCCCTCCTTACCCTTCTCCCCACTCTGACCCCACAATTAGTCTCTCTCTCTCTCTCTGCCCAAAACTCTGTCTGGCCATCATGGCAGCCTCTGCCTGGCCACCCCACATCACGGCCGCAAAACGCACCCAGCAGGTTGCACCTTACCCTCCGCTCAAACTCCTCTCCCTGCTGTACCTCCCGAGGGTAGCCATCAATCAGGAAGCCTTTGGAAGTATCTACCTTGGCCACCATGGCATCTCGGAGCATGTCCAACACCGTCTCCTGGGGGCACAGGAAAATATGGAGAGGTCATGAGCTCCTTTCCCCACCTCTTCCTCCAGGCCTCTGCCCTAATAAAGATGTTCCAAACAAGCCTCCCTCTCCAGGAAGCCTCCTTTGAATGTGAAGGCTTGACTGGTTGATCAAACCCTTCATGCATCCATCCATTCATTCAATAATACTGACTCAACCCCATCCTCCCCGCCAGCTCCTGTCCAGGGCCCCAGGGACACCACTGAACGAAGCAGACCTTCCTCAAAAAGCTCACAGTGTGGTGAGGTTGATTTAGCAATTTCCAAGCATGACGCAGGTTGAATGGGCAAAGAAGGAGGCCTTCTGGAGTTATAAAATGAGCGGGTCTAAGCTCAAATCTGTGGAGCCAGGGAGGTCTGAAAGCTGAGGAGGAAAGAACATTCCAGGCAGGAAGGAATCTGATGAGATCGACAGGACGGAAAGGCCAGGGCAGCCGGAAGGTGGAGAGCCGGGGGGGCGAGTGGGCGGTGTGGGGCTGAAGGGGTCGGCAGGGGCAGGGGTCCTAGAAGCTCCAGGAGCTTCTAGAAGGAATTTCCTGCCAAGGGCAATGGGGACTGGAGCCATAAGTGTTTGGAGCCAGGGAAGATCAAGGCAGCATCGCCAGGGCATCCTGGGCTTTGCTGGCGGGAGCCCACTCGGGGCCACCATCACCCCCCACCCCACCGGGCCCACTCACCAGTGGCACCAGCTGCCCCTTCTCCATGATTTCCGACAGCATCTTGCCCCTGGCCGAGCCCGAGCTGACCTCGGCCCGCAGGAGGTCCCCGGTGGAGAGGTGGGTGTAGCCGTACTTCTGGACAATCTTCTCACACTGGGTGCCCTTCCCTGAGCCGGGCCCTCCTGCAAGCGCCCACCCATTCAGAAGCCCCGCGAAACGGGGGCCACCGCGGGGCGAGGATCTGCCCGCACCACCCAGCGGAGGAGGGGCAGAGCCCAGGGTGCAGCCCCAGGCCCAGGCTCCCACCAGCGCCTGCAAAGCACCTCCCTGCTTGCTGCCTGACCCCGCCTGCCTTGGACTCACCCACCACAAAGATGATCTTGGCTTTCTTCAGCTTCTCTGTGGGACGGAAAAGGGGAGCAGAGTTCAGTGACTCACTTGACAAAGAGCCCGAAGCACCTCTGCAGTCCAGGCCTGTGCCGGGCCTCAGGCCTCAGGGTCCTGCCCCGACTGACCAGCGATGGGCTGAGCAAAGCTCAGCGGTCAGGGAGGAGAGGGTGTTCCAGGCAAAGGCCTGGAGGCTACAGACTTGGCACAGGCTGAGGACAACTCCGAGGGGCTCAGATGCCGACCCTCACAGCCCCTCCCCAGGGGGTGGCTGGGCAGCGGCGGGTCACCTCTGGCCTTAGAGTCTTCCGCGGTGCGGCGGCTTCCTGAGCAGCAGACCCCCATCGTCCCGTTCTCCCGCGTCCCTTCCCCTTCCCCTCCCAGGCCCTGGGCCTGCCCATTGCCCGCCTTCCCTGGGCAGTACAATTACGGAGGTGGCAACCACAACATATGTTGCCCTGGAGACAGTTGCCAGGGAAAAGGGCTGCGGTGGGCATGGAGAGCCCTCGCCCAGAGAGGGAGGCGAACTCCTGCTCCAGCCTCTGCCTCACCAGCCCTCAGAACTCAGCAAGGCCACAGCTTGGCCGCACAAGGGAAACTGAGGCCTAGGGAGGCAGGGGCCTGCTCCGAGGATGCCAGACCCAGAACGGGAAGCCGGGCCCTCTTCCCAGGCTGCCCGGCCTTCCCCTCACTGGGTCACCTTAGGAAAGGAGTCCCCACCCCTCTCTGGCTCTCTGTTCCCTCGCCACTGAGGAAGGCTTGGCAGCTCCCAGGGGCCCCCTGGCCCTGCGGCTGGAGGCCTAGAGGAACTGTCAGGAGAAGCGCTTCTCCCGTGGGCTCCCATCACTGCCTGCCAAGTGCTGGGTACCACCTGGAGGCGGGGGAGGCCACAGCCCTCGGGCAGCTGATGTTTGGGGCCCAAGGGGTGGAAGGGTGACAGCCGGCTCAGGCAGCAGCAGCAGGCTCCTTTAAGAGCCGCCCAGGCCGAGGCACAAGGCCAAGGATGGGGCGGTGATACTGGCAGGAGGCGGGCCAGCCAGGCGCTCTGCTGGCCACATGCCTCCCTCCAGGTCCCGGGCCCGCAGCAGCCAGGAGCGCCCAAGAGATCCTGAAGACCCACCCGCTCTGGACAATGGAGAAACTGAGTCCCACAGAGGGGTTGGACCTTGCCGCGTCCTTGTTAGGCTTGGCATTTGCACACTTGGGGCCTCTCCCCAGGGCTAGCCTCCCCTTGCCAGCACCCACCCTTTCTAGAAAGAGGCAGGGACTCAGCTCTATAAATACGAGCGTAGGAGGTGAGCTATGGGGCCCTCAGGAGCCTCAAGGAGGCCTCTTTGCTTCTAAAATTAATCTTGGAGCTGGCAGATCCCGTGAGATGCCTGAGGAGGATGCTGGAGGCTCCGAGACAGGCCCCTCTGGCAGCCAGAGAACCTCCTCCAACCCTTCCCAGAATGTCTCCTGAAAGCACACCCCCTTAACAGACGGGCACACTGAGGCCCAGACTGCGAGCAGCAAAGAAGAGCCTCGGTACCTTCCATCCTGCTGAGGTCCGGGGAGCCGAGTCAGCGCACTGCAAGAAAGGGCACAGGTGGGGCAGGTGAGGGGGCCTTCCCGGCACCCCGTCCCCCCCCTCCCCAGCCCCTCGGTGTGTGCCAGGCCCTGACGCTCCCAAGGGTACAGGGCATGGAGGGCCCCGAAGGTTGGGTGACCTTGGGAAGGTCACCTTTCCTCGGTGTGCTTCCACTGTTACAAAAGGGCAGCAACCCCCTCCCGTCCACCTCTTCCCGCCGGAGGAGCCAGGTGGCGCGGACAGTCCTGAGGGACAGAACCAGTGGCGTCAGCAACTGCTGAGCTGTTCCCCTTGCCAGTCCCAGAAAACAGGCGTCTGCCCAACACCTTGGAGACGCTCCCCAGGGCCAGGAGGAAAGCTCTGTGGAGGCTGGAGGTGGGAAGAGGGACTGGATCTGCGTGTGTCTTCATCCCGAATGGGGTTGGGATGAAGATGCTCAAAGGGACACAGAGGTCTGAGGGGGAGGAAGCTGCAGGAGCTGCTCAAGGGACACAGCCCTGTAGAGTTTTCATGGGGGACGGGGGACCCCCAGGCTCTCACCCCCCCCTATGACCCTTGCCCCCCCCCCCCCCCCCGGATCTTGCTCTACCACCTGCCTTCTCCTCAGCAAGTGAGTTAACCCCACCCCCTCCAGGACCCCACTCTGCTTCAACCGCTCCTTCCACCTAGAATTGCCACCTCCACACCCACCCGCTCTCCCCAAGGCCACCAGCGACCAACACAGTCACTCTTGCCTTGACCTTTGACGCCAGACCCTCGGTCGGCTTTCCCCCTGCCTGGCGTTCCCCCAACCGCAGGCCCTCACTCCACCCTCACAATGCTGACTTCAGGTTCCCAGGACCCCTGTCTCTGCCCAGCCAGCCCTGGCCTCCCTCCCCAGCCCCATAGGTCTACAGTCCCTGGACAGGCCTGAAGTCCCCACACACCCTCCCATGTCCCCAGTTCCACACCCTGTTGCCCAACCAAAGGCCCCAGTGTGCGTGAACACCCTTCTCCCACACCCCACTTCCACCCTGCCCACGCACATCCCAACTCTCTCTCCAGCCTGTGTGCTCACCACCACTTCCTTATTGCAAGTGGGGCGCCTGGCCACTGCCCCAGCCTCCCATGGGTCTCCCTACCTCCATACCCCACCAGGCAATCTGCAGGATTCTCTCTGGTAAGCATCAGACCACATCGCTCACCTGCTTAAAATCCTTCCAACAAGTGGCCCCCTAGCTCCCAAGGTAAAGCCTGGGTCCCTAACATGGATGACAGGGTCCAACAACCTCTACCCACCCTCTGCGGCCTTAACAGCCACCGCTTGAACTGCTTGGAGCTTCCTCGCCCACTATGACCGTGTCCCACCTCCAGGCCCTGGCTACTGTTGCACCTGATGCCTGGATGCCTTTCCCCAGGTGCTTCTGGCTAGGACTCAGTTCAGGTGTCACCTCCTTCAGGAAGTCTTCCTGGACTCTGTCCTCCACTCCCACACTAGCAGTTGCCTCCTTCGAACGCCCCCAGCGTCACACATGCCACATGTTACTGGACCCCTCTGTTGTACCACTGGCCTGTGTGCCCCACGGGACTGGGCCTGGCCCCGGGCTAAGCATAGGGCTGGGGGCCTCACGCTGTGCTCACAGCTGTCTTGGAAGGGATTTGAGGCTTGAAGAGGAGGGGAGACTTGCCCCAGAGCCTGGCTAGGGTCAAACTCGGGCTGCATTTTCTGCTGCTTTAGGCCTGGCACCTAGTAGGTCTTTAGGCAGCTTTGCTGACTGTCCCGCCACTTGTGGGGCATGAATTATAGGCCCTTTCCTGCTGAGTGTGCTCAAGGAAGGGTAGAGCTGCCAAGGCCCCACAGCAGCAGCCAAGGGAGGAGGATGGTCCCCAGGCCAGAGAGAGCCTGAGGTGACACCCTGCGGAGTGGCCTCCCACCCACCTTGCCCTGCCTCCTCCCAGTAACCTAAGCCCCTCTGTCCGGCTGGCACCTGCTACTTCCTTGGTCCAAAATAACTTGGGTGGTGAGGCGTCACAGAGGCCAGGGGTCCAGGACAGAGTTGGGTTACCGGCTCAGCACCCAGGCCTTACAAGGCCCCCGGATCCAGGCTGCAGCAACTCCTCTCGTGACTGGGTGGTCTGCCCAGGGGCCTGGGGAACTGAGGCCCAGAGGGACAGCCACTGAAGGGCTCATCCCTCAGCTGTGTGACCTTGGGCAGCTGGTGTCCCCTCTCTGGGCCTGCACCCTCCAGGCCCTGTCCTGCTGCTGCTGGAGACTCCTGAGTGGATATCTGAGCAGTGCTCAGGAAAGGTCCCATGTGTTGGCCCCAGGGGCTCCCTTAGAGCCCCCTCCCTTTCAGGAGGCTGGGGCAGGGGGCCAAACATCCAGGGGGCTTCCTGTCCCCCCAGCACTCAAAATGGCATGGCAGGATAGCTCCTCCAATCTCATAGGCGCCCCGCCAGGTCCTCCGGGGCAGGGCGTGCGGCCACAGCCCCCTTCCCTGGGCCCCAGCTGGGACGTGCCAAGGGCAGGGACCTGGAGCCCCAGCGCCAGGAGTGCCAGCCTGGACAAAGGGGCGACTGTGTAGGAAGCTAGGAGGGACTGCAGCACACATCTCCCGACGCGGGCACACGCAGGGTGGCACAAATAGCCAGAGCAGAGCCTGGGAAGACCAGACGGGCGAATCCCCACGGATCCCACCACCCATACAGACACAGTCGCACAAACCCCAAGGATGCCCGGACACACACAGACCCGCGGCCCCAGGCGCGCGCGGCTCCCCCACCCCCCGCAGAGGCGCCCCCCGCGCCCGGACACGCACGCGGGCACACACTGACCTGGGGGAGGGGTGCGGCGGGCGCCGGGGCCAGTGGTGCCCTGCCCGTCCTCGCCCGCCGCCCGCAAAGGCGACTATTTATAAGGCTGTCAGCAGCGCGCAGCATGCCGGGAGCCAGCGCTCGGCGGCGAGGGCAGGGAGGGAGGGAAGGAAGGAGGGAGGGAGAGCGGCCTGGGAGGGAGGGGGGCCTGGACCCGGGTGAGCCCCGATGAGAAGCCAGAGCAAGGCCGCCGCCCCCCACCGTGCATCCCCAGGTGGCTGAGGCTGCAGGGTTTTCTCCCGTCCTGCCTGACCTCCCGTGTGCCCACATCGCTGCAGGGGAACGGGACCGGGTTTCCCGTATGACAGCTGGGGAAACTGAGACCCAGAGAGAAGAGACTCTTTGCACAAAATCCCTCGGCAAATTGTTGGCAGAGAGAGGACCCAGTGCGGGAGGCAGCCCATGCATGGATTCTGGGGGCTTTGCCAGGCCAGTCCCCCCACCACTCCTTAGATCCTGCCCAGAGGCCCCTGGGCCGACACCCACCCAGAACTCCTCCTCACCGGTTAGAAGGGGCCCAAGAAGGCCTCTGGAACTGAAACTCTCTCAGGACCCCAAAGACCATCCAGGTACCCGTTTCTCAGCTAGGGGTTGTGTAGAAGATTATAAAAAATCAGCTCTGCCTTCATCACACTGCCAGGCAGCCCCCAAGAGGTGAGCACGAGGAGGTGGGACATTCAGAATGCTGAATGGGATGTGGGTACCCGGATGGGGGGCCGGCAATCCTGAAAAAAAGAACAGCTGCCGTGAATGAGCACTCACTGTGCCCGGCACTGGGCAGAGTGCTGGGCTCATACTGGGTCTGCGAATCCTTAAACCTGGAGGAAAGCGAGGGTCACATCTGTAAAATAGACGCCCCACCCTGAACCTGTGTAGAACCTCTGAACCTGAAATCTCGTTTCGGGCCGGAAACTTCATCCGATTTTTGACACAGGGACTTCTGAACTATTGAACTGGACAAGGGCTTATGACAGAACACAGAGCTGCTGCACCCCCATTCTTTTTTTTCCCCTAAAGATTTTATTTATTTGATAAGAGAGAGCATAAGCAGGGGGAGCGAGAGCGGGAGAGGGAGAAGCAGACCCCCACCAAGCAAGGAGCCCGCCGCCATGGCGTTTGATCCCAGGACCTTGGGATCATGACCTGAGCCGAAGGCAGACGCGTAACTGACAGAGCCACCCAGGCACCCCTCCACGCCCATTCTTGATAAAAATCGGATATTTTCCTAGTAACTGTCCTCACGTAAAAGAAACCTGATGTACTGTAAAATGTCATTCTCTCTTCCAACCATAATGTTTGGAAAACAATTTGTGTGGTCTTCCTAATACTTCTGCAATTTGCTAATGAAGACCCCTGGCTTTTACTCCTCAACGGGACACAATTTGGGTTGCTCCCTAAATTTATGCTCCCCAAATTACAGTTCTCAGACCCCCATTTTGTGTGGGCACAAAATGTGTACAGGATGGTTCTCCAGTGCCAGTGGGGCCTGACTGATGGGAGCAATCAATGGTGGTGCAGCCAGGCTGGGGTGGGGTGGGACTCTGCAGTTCGCGTCCACAAGAGAAAGGAAGACAGAGGTCTGTGTGGCTGGCTGCCCAAGCAAAAGAAATAGGCAAAGAGCCCAGTGAAAATAATTCTAAACATGCAGGGGCGTGTGTGTGTGTGTGTGTGTGTATGTGTGTAAAATCTATTCCTACGGGTTTTTGGTTTTTGTTTTTTTTTTTTAACGTCTCTGAAATCATGTTGTCTTATAATCAAATCCATGGTATCTTTAAGTTGATGAAAGGAAGCAGAACAGAGGGGGCGGGATGTGGGGTGTGTGACCATGACCCCCTGGAGGAGGTGGGACTTTCACTTCTTACTTAGAGGCTGGCTGGCTGGCTGGTTTGCTTTCTTTCTAAAAATAAAACAAGCACCTATTACTTTATACGTAAAACAATTTTAACACGGATGTACCTTGAGGACATGATGCTAACTGAAATAAACCAGTCACAAAAAGACAAATATTGTATACTACTGATATGAAGTATCTAGAATGCTCAAATTCACAGAAACAGAAAGCAGAATGGCAACCAGGGGCTGGGTGGGGAAGGGGAAATTCAGAGTTACTGTTTCATAGATTTTGACTTTCAGACATGTGAGATGAGAAAGTTCTGGAGATGTTTTATAACAAGGTAAGTGTACTTAACACTCCCAAATTGTACACTTAAAAACGGGTATGTAGTAAATTTTATGCGGTTTTTACCACAATAAAAGGAAGTTTTAAAATCTTAAAAACTGGGGGGAAAAAAATTTTTAAGTACCTATTTTATTCTGCATTCTTGTCTCAGCCATATTGAAGTTTCCGTGAAAAACACAATTTTGCTTTTTTATAATTCTATTTGAGCAAGTTACACGTTCAATGAGCTCTCCAACCAACCAAATTTCTGTGTCTGAGTCCTTTTTTTATTTTGTTTGTGTATGACCTGTGGATTTTCTGCCAATGCTGGGATATTGAAGTGTCAGGATTCTTTTCCCCAGCAGCAACTTAAAAAAAAAAAAAAAAAGGAAAAAGGCAGGGAGGGAAAAGGGAAGGAGAGCAGGGGGAGGGGGAAAGGGAAAAAAATTGCATGGAGGAAAAATCTGGAAGATTTTTTCTTAGACTGTTAACAGGGAATAGGACCAGGCGACACCTTCTATCCTGTATCATTTGTATGGTTTACGTTATTTTATAACGTGAAGGGAAAAAAAAAACAAACCTGGGGCACCTGGGTGGCTCAGTCAGTTAGGCGTCTGCCTTTGGCTTGGGGGTCCTGGGATGGAGCCCTGTGTTGGGCTCCCAGCTCAGGGGGGAGTCTGCTTCTCCCTCTCCCTCTTCCTCTGCCCCTCCCCTGCTTGTGCTCTCTCTCAAATAAATAAATCTTAAAAAAAAAAAACAACAACCCTAAAAACATATAAAATGAAACCAATTTTTTAAATATTTAAAAAATATTTTGGTTAAAGAAAGAACCCCAAGGCTTGAGACGAGCCAGCTGGGGGAGGCTGACTCTAAGGCTCACAGCTAGAACCACGCAGAGCCTAGCTGCCCCAGGCGAGCACGGAGCTGAGCATTGTAGGCAACAGGTGGAGTGGCTACTTTCAGGAAGGACACGTCAGGTCTGCAGCTGGTGGGAGATGCCCCTAGCCCCGGGGCGGGGGGGTGGGTCAGGGGTAGAGGCCTCAGAGAGGTAACTGGGAAAGAGATGCACAGGGATATGGGGGGCTCTGAACCCCAAAGGAAGAGGTAGGTTTGGTCCTGGCCACACTGGGGAGCCAGTAAAGGTTTCAGAGCAGAGAGGACCATAGTGAGGTCGCTTTAGGAAGTTAGTTTTGGCAGTGAGTGGACCAGTTTCTGCTGGGTCCCATCTGAGGCAGTGAGTTTGTAAGGTTGAGGGCCCCGTGCCTCCTGCCCTCAGCATCCTCCCAAGTTCCACCTTCTGATGTTAAATTGAACTGTCCCAGGGTCCACCCCCAGCAACCAGCCCCTCTCTTTTTTTTTTTAAGATTTTATTTTATCTAACAGAGAGAGAGAGCACAAGCAGGGGGCAGGCAGAGAGAGAGGGAGAAGCAGGCTCCCTGCTGAGCAGGGAGCCCAATGCAGGGCTTGATCCCAGGACCCCGGGATCATGACCTGAGCCGAAGGCAGACACTTAACTGACTGGGCCACCCAGGCACCCCACCAACCCCCCCCCTTAATGCCCTCCTACGGTGCCTCCCTTCATGCCCACAAATGAGCAGACAAAAGGGCCACAGTGTTCTGGGAGAGAATCTACCTAGAAACCTCTGCCTGCACCCAGATTCCCAGAAGCCTTTGCGTGGGACTGGAAGTGTGCCATATTGCCATCTCGCCATTCCCATGCAGGGCCTTAGGACCCCCATGTAAGGACTTTGCAAGGAGTTCCTGTCCCTCCGACAGGCCAACCACCACCACCATTACTGTACCTGGTGAGCCCCAGGTCTGGGCCCTGCAACGTCCCAGCCTCCTGTCCATCCTGCTGCCATCCAAGGGCTGTGACTTTGCCCATCTCGTGCTGATACTCAGGGCCTTTTCCCATCTGGCCCCAAGCAGCCTCATTTCCCACTGCTCTCTCCTGTGGTCTCGCTGCTGACTTGAGCAAGGCTATGGGACACCCCCCCAGGTTTTTTTTTTTTTAAGATTTTATTTATTTATTTGACAGAGAGAGACACAGCAAGAGAGGGAACACAAGCAGGGGGATTGGGAGAGGGAGAAGCAGGCTTCCCGCGGAGCAGGGAGCCCGATGCGGGACTCGATCCCAGGACCCTGGGATCATGACCTGAGCCGAAGGCAGATGCTTAATGACTGAGCCACCCAGGCGCCCCCCCCCTTTTTTTTAAAGATTTTATTTATCCCCCACCAGGTTTTGTTCAGGCCATTCTCCCTCCCTCACCAATTGCACCTAACGCAGCGCATGACACGTGGCGACATATTGCATGAACCTAGGCTTGGGCAAGAGACAAACGCAGGGTGCCCCTTTTGCCTCCCAGCTCTGTGGCCCACCCTCGCAGCTGGCCCTGTGCCCGGGGGAGAGCTCTTCCCCCGAGTCCCCACAGCCCACCCTGGTCTCACACAGCACCTTTTGTCAGGCCTCCGCTCCCAAGGGCATCTTATCTGCCTAAACAGGTTGTAATCTGCCGGGGTCACGGACCCCCTTACTCCTGCCAACTGGGAGTAAACAAACCCTTTTGCCTAGAGGGTGGCGGCAGCCCTGTGGAGTCCAGGACTCACCAGGCTCCTCCCAGGGCTGCAACCCTGCGGCCTCCTTCCCCCTGGGCCCTGCAGGAAATTTCCACTCCCTGCCCTCAGTGCCCCCAGGCCCTAGAACCAAACTCTGAGCCCCCGCCCCCAGCAGTCTCCCCTTCATTGTGCTGCTCTGGCTTCCTCCCTCCAGTCCCCTGAAGCTGCTTTCCTGAACACCGCTTTCATGCCCCCCCTCCCCCTTCTCCCCGCCAGAAGCACCGCCCCCAAACTTCTGCAGGCCTCCTCCTCCTCCTTCAGGCCTCAGAAGAATGTCACCTCTACAAAGTGCCCTGTGTCACTGCCCCGCAGTCCTTAGCACCCTCCAGGGCCTGTCTGGGACAGAACTGCCACAGGGCCCCTCCCCTTCCTAGAACTCCCTAGAACCTGGAGAACAGTGCCTGGACCTGTCTCACCCATGAGGGAACCAGGGCTCTGAGAGGTGAAGTGACTTGCCTGAGACACAGGAACGAGGGAGGAGGGACTGGAAAAGCCAGGTGGGCTTGGTTCCAGGAACCCCACACACCTCTGGAGCTGCAAGGCCTCCACCCAAGCTGCAAAATACATGACTCACTGGCCGGCTGCAAAAGCTGGCCATCCTGTGTGTGAGCTCCCAGCCTGGAGGGTGCGGGCACTGTCCTGAGGAAGCCCACAGCAGGACCAGAGAGAGCCAAGCTGGATCCAAGAGACACAGGAAACAGAACCAGAGTTTAGGTGCATTTATTCCTGTACAAATCATTACAAAACCAAGTGTGGGGTAGTCGCCGGCTCCCAGCCCCCACCCCAATGTGCAAAGGCTTGCTGCTGGCCTCTTCCTCCTCCACCTGACCCCTCCAGCTCCACAGCCTCCTCCAGGAAGCCCTCCAGTCTTCCCTTCCAGGCTCTGGAAGAACAGGGGCAAGCCCACCTCACTGAGGTCCAGCAAAAAAGTGCCTGATGTAGAGTGAGGGGGCAGAACCCAGGCGACGTGGCTCCTAGTCCCCTGAGAGCCTTCCCAGGCCCAGCTGAGGGGAGACCCTTGGACGACTCCAGCAGCTGCAGACAAAGGGACTGCGTGAAACCCCAGTTTGGCTGGGATTCACCTTTCTCAGCCCCAAAGGCTACTCCAACAGGTGGAAAGCCTCACTGCTGGATGGCAGAAAAGGCAGCCTGGCTCTTTAAGAGCCAAACTAATGGCAGCTGAGTGGAGGGACTAAGAAAACAGCTGAAGGTTTGTCCCTTTCCTATTAGATACCAACCCCCCCACCGCAAACCCTGTGGGAGTTTACGCAAAAATACCCTAAGTTTCCAGGAGGAGGTGAGGAAAGGGACTCTAGACTCCCAGGGAGTTGAGCCCCCCAGCAAGGGGTGGTGGCTGGAGGGGTCCAGTCTTAGGGAAGACAGACCCAAGGAGGTCAGTGGGGAAAGTAGGTGGGGGCCTCAGACTCCACGTGAGAACCTGACACAGGCAGGAGGGCGACCAGAGAGGGGGCAAGGGTTTTGTCCAAAGCCACTCAGGGCAGAGCCAAGACCCGGATGCTGGCTCCCACCTCTAGGAGCCACCCCACCCCAAACACCCGACAAATGCCCTGGCCTGGCCTCCAGACACAGCTCCCACTCCCATGCAACCTCTCTTTCTGGCTCTGGGAAGTGAGGGAGCAGCACAGAGCCCCCAGCTCCGCAGGACAGGACCCCCTTGTCCCAGCCAACAGGGAGTGATGGGGGGGTCCATCCTGGGGCTCTGAACCAAGGCCTTGTGGAAAAGCACACGTCCTTAGCGTCAGATAACTTCAGAAATACCCTGATTGACTATGCTCAGACCCTGACTGGACAAGAAATACCTCCAATACCCCTGATTAACCACATAGCTCAAATCCCTGATTGGTCAAGAGACACCCCAGGCCCTCACTGGCTGGAGGATACAAGGCCCAGATTGGCCCGAAGACACTCCGGCCAGCCTTGATTGGCCAGGAGATGGCCCTTGGTTGAATGGCTGGGAGGACAGTGGCCTCTGGCGTGCCCCCGTGAGAGGTCCACAGGCAGGGTGGCCTAGGTCCAGGAGGGGTGGGAGAAGGTGATTCCATACAGCTGGGCCCAGGAGGAGAAGACCCTCTTCTCGGTGATGAAGCGGTGGTGGTTGCCCTTGCGGCTGTGCTCATTCTGGATGTAGGTGACGCACTCGTCTGGCCCCTTGGGCTCATAGTAGTGGTAGGGCATGCGCTGGCGGCGGGGCCGCTGGCTGGGGCAGAGCAGATGGGAGCAGTCAGGGCAGGGGGAGGCACCAGCGGGGCCCTTGCGCTTCCCAGCTCCTGACTTGCTAGAGGACTTCAGTGGGGGAAATCCCTGCCCCTCCCGGAGCCTCAGTTTCCCCATCTGTAAAATGGATGTAGGGTGGACTAGATTTATGACCACCCAACTTTTTTTTTTTTCTTTTAATATGACTGAAACTTTTCCTTTCCTTAGGAGGGTGATAGTGTAGGGTAGTGGAAAGAAGTAAGGGCTCTGGAGCCTAGCCCCAGTGCTTATGGTTTGTGGGACCTTAGGCCACTCACAAAGCGTCTTCCTCAGTTTTTCTCATCTCCGGAACAGAAAGAATAAGGCAACTGTCCACTAGGGTCCCTGTGAGGAATAAATGACCTAACAAATGTAGCCAGGCCTGGAACATGGTCAGTACTCGGTGAAGAATAGCTGTCACCTAGCAGGCTTGTCGTATAATATTATTAATGATAGTGATTATTAATATACAAACTCTGGACTCTGGCTGAGTTGAGGGGAGGCCCCTGAGATAGCTAGCCCCACGAAGCCTGGCTCTCCACAGAGCAGTTTGAAGACCATTAAATAGAGGCCCTCAAAGGCACCCCCCAGCCAAAGTTTCCGGGGTTCCATCCTGCAACCAGTGACTGGGTGTTGTTGGGAGGGGGAGCTCACCTGCAGTAGTCGGGGGGGACCATGCCATAGACGTGCACGTGGTCACACAACTCTACTGCAATCACCATGGTGAACCAGCCGGTGCTCAACCACGAATGGGACTTTTCCCTGAGGGCAGAGAGGGGGCATGATGAGGGGGCATGCAGATAGGAAGGAATGGTCAACCCACCTGGAGCTTCCCAGAACTCCTCCCACGCCCCTTCCATTGGGGCCCTCTCCCCACTTCGGTGACCCCCTAGTCCAGCCCCACCGTGGGAGCGTGTACATGCTGGCAGAGGGCTTGTCTGGGCAGAGATGCAGGGTGTGGGGAGAGCTCTTTTGAAAGAACAGCGCATGCTGGGAATCAACTCCTGGGGAGATTAGTCACAGTAGGGCAGGTTGCAAGTGACCATGAACTTACTAGACTCATGGTCTTGCTTGACAGAGCTTGCTAGAAGCCGCTGTGCCCACACTAGAAGCAAACGCCTAATGGGAGTCTCATCAGAGAAGGTCACGCTGTGACCACAGGTTCGGAGCAGGGCATGGAAAGGAGCCAAGGGCCTAGAATTGAGCTGCCCACTACAGCAGCCAGGAGCCACATGTGGGCACATGGGGGCACATGACGTGTGGCTGAAATGTGCTATCAGTATAAAATATGCACGGGATGTTTTAGTATGAAAGAAAGAACACAGAAAATGTCACTGGTAGTTTTTGACTATATGTTGAACTGAAAATAGTTTGGATATATTTGATTGAAGGTGGTTCTTTGGGAAATTTAGAAAGAAAATAAACCTCTCACAAGACTGACAAAGAGAGAAAAGACACAAGTTACCAATATCAAGCATAAAACAGAGGATATCATCACAGACCCCGTAGACATGGGAAGGGCAATAAGCAAACCATAAACAATTACGTACACAAATTTCCCAACTTAGATGAAATAGGCCAATTTCTTGAAAATCAGAAACTACCAAAACTCAGCCAAGATGAAACAGATTAACCTGAGTACGTGTGACTATTAAGAAACTGAATTCATCGTTCAAAACCTTTGAAAAAGAACTCTCCAGGCCTAGATAGCTTCACTGGCAAATTCTACCAAACATTTAAAGAAGAAATAACACAATTCTACACATTTTCTGAGGCCAGCATTACCCATAAGACCAAAGTCAGGTAAAGACAGTACAAAAACAAAACTATAGATTGATATCTCTTATGAACACAGACACAAAAATCTCAACAAAATATTAGCACATCATATCCAGCAATATATAAAAATAATACACCACAAACAAGTGAGGTGTTGTATTATTGGTGGTATAATAACCAGTTTATTCCAGAAATGCAAGTCTGATTCAATATTCAAAAATCAATCGATATTCAAAAATACATATGGTAGTACAATCCACCACAGTAATAGCCTTAAGGAAAACCATATGATCGTATCAATTGAGGCAAAAAAAAAACACTTGATAAAATTCAATGTCCAATAATGATGAAAACTCTTAGCAAATTGGAGAAGGGAACTTCTTCAACCTGATAAAGGACAGCTAAAAACTCTACAGCTAACATCTTTATTCAATGATGAAAGACCAAATGCTTTCCAACTAAGACTGGGACCAAGGCTACTCTCATCACTCCCCACACAATTTGACCTTGGATCAAAAGTCCTGGCCAGTGTAATAAGGCAAGAAAAAGAAATAAGATGTATACCCATTGGAAAGGAAGAAATAAAACTGTTCTGAATTACACGTCCTTGCAACATGACTACGTGTAAAGAAAATCCCAATGAACCTAGAAAAATCTCCCAGAACCAATAAGTAAGGTTTAGCAGGATTATAGGATATAAAGTCAATACACAAAAATCAATTGTATTTCTGTATACTAGCAATGAATAATTAGGAACCCCCTAAAATTTTAAATATAATTTATAATAGCTCCCTCAAATCTTAAATATTTAGGCATAAATCAAACAAAGTATAGGATCTATGTGCTGGATGTATTGCGTTAAATAAAATATATTAAAATTAATTTTACCTGTTTCTTTTTACTTTTTTAATTTGGCTACTATAAAAATTTAAATTACATATATGGCTTGTATTATATTTCTATTGGATAGCACAGGCCTAGCTGCTTTGGGGAGATCAGCCAGAAAAGGACATGCGGGGAAAGATGTATCCTTAGGATAGAGCATGCTGGGAGCAACTACGTGCCTAAAGCAAGACATGCTGGGTACAGTGAATACCTGTCACGAGCTATGGGGAGCTCTCCTAGAAAGATGCTAGGCATATGCCACCTTAGAGCAGAGCATGCTAGGAGCCCTGTTCCCTCAGAGCCATGCATGCTGGGAGGAAGCCCTCCTTGGGAGACAACACAATGCAGAGCATGTTGGAAGTGACTCCTGCTAGGGGCTGGACATGAAGAAAATTCCCAAGGAAAACCTAACCAGAGGGTGGCAGGAAGTGACCACACCCTCAGAACAGTGCATGCTGGGAATAACAGGCCCTCTGGGCAGAGAATGCTGCGGGAGAGCACAGGGCTGGCCAGAGGGGGCAGGCAGGAGGCTGGTACCTGTCCTTGCCCGTCTCACCCCGGAAGAGGTCGTCAAACTGGCGCATGCGGCCGGGAGAGACGGCATAGGCCTCCATGTTGGGGAACACCAAGCCTGCCCGCTGGATGACACGCACAAGGCTGCCCTGGGGCTTCTGCATCTTGTTCGGGGGCCCCCAGAAGATGAACACGGTTTCAGGGGTCCGGTTGACGAACTCCTGGGGCCTCCGCAGCACACGGAATACGCTGGAATGGGCTACCACACGGAAGGTGGTCTTGTTGCCTACGTCGGCTGAGTAGCCCGTGGTGGGCGCGTCGTTCATGCGGATTGTGCACTCGGCTCGTTCAATCTCGGGGCCCAGCTTGGTTCCCAGCAGGTGGCTAGAGCTGGTGACAATCACACACTGGTGGCACCGGGAGGGCAGTGTCTGGGAGGGGGCAAGGAAAATCAACACTGTCTGTCACGTCCACTCAGTGCCAGGCCCTATGCTCTGTAATCCAGGCCTCTGGGAGGCAGGAATTACTTTGCTCATTTTATTTCTATTCATTTACTCATTTATTTATTTAGAGAGCACAGCGGGGGGAGGGGGAGGACAGGGCAGAGGAGAGGGAAAGGGAGAGAAAGAATCTTAACCAGGCTCCACGCCAAGCGCGGAGCCCCATATCGGGCTTGAGATCATGACCTGAGCTGAAATCAAGAGTTGACTGCCCAACTGAATGAGCCACCCAGGTGCCCCTATTTTGCCCATTTTTTTTTAAAGATTTTATTTATTTATTTGACACAGAGAGCAAGAGAGCACAAGCAGGGGGAACAGTAGACGGAGAGGGAGAAGCAGGCTCCCTGCCAAGCAGGGAGCCCAATGCGGGGCTCGATCCCAAGACCCTGGAATCATGACCTGAGCCAAAGGCAGACGCTTAACCATCTGAGCCACCCAGGTGCCCCGATTTTGCCCATTTTAAAGACAGGGAAACTAAAGGCTATTCACTTGATATTCAACAACTATTACGGCAAGCTGGCTAATGGCCAAATACCAGAGACAGAGCAATGAATAAAAGGGACCCCACTCCTGCCTTCAAGAGTTTCACGGTCAGAGAGACAGACAGTAAACAGATAAAAGACAAACTAATGATAGGTGGTGAGTAAAACGTGCTACAAAGACAGTACAATAGGGGCGAGGGATCAAGAGGGACAGGAGTGGGGGCTACTCCAGAAACATCACTGGGGGCGGTTCTTGGAGCTGAGACCTGGAGGATGAAAAGGAACCACACAGGAAAGTACTCAAGGCAGGAGGAACAAGCAAGACCAGAGGTTCTGAAGTGCGAATGACCGCAGTGTGTTGAGAAGCAAAAGAAGGCCACTCGGCTAGGGCAGACTGAAGGAAGAGGGCAGAACAGTCACGCGGGGATGTCCCCAAAGTCACACAGCAGAGGAGCACAGTGTTTGGGTAGGAACCCAGGTCTATAGGGCCACAGAGCCCCAGCGTTAGTCCAGTTCCCCTAAGAAGGCATCCTCCCCAGGGCACCCGTAACATTTCCACACTACCCACAAACAAGACACCACCTTGTCAGTCAGGAAAGGGTGTGGAAGCCCCTCTGGGCCTCTGTTTCCCCACTGGTGCATGAGTTGGAACCACACGTTCTCTGGGGCCTATTTTCTGCCCATGGAATCCTGTTTACCCTTTAAGCCTAAGCTCAGGTGCTACCTCCTCCAGGCAGTCTTCCCTGAGCCTTACTCCAAAATCCAACAACAGGTCCCATGGACCTCAACTGATGACTTTTCCAGCTTTCTTGGGCCCTACTGGCTTCCCCTCTCCGGCTGGAAGCAGCTACAAGCCCAGCGCTGCCTCATTCCCTGCCCTGTCACCCACACTCAAGCTCTGCCACTTTTTCCCAGGTTCCATTATTTTTATTTTAAGAGTTCTTAGGGTCTCAGTTAGGTGCTGATCTATGGGCCCCTTCCCAGTAAGGGTGTATTCAGATGCTGAGAGACTTAGGAGGATTTGTGAGGGAGGAGAGGGAGACAGGCAGGATTGGGAGACCTCCTCCGCCAGGAAGGTGTCCATATTCCAGGCCACTGAGGATCTCCCTGGCATCCTGGAAAACATTTAGGGTTTAGAGGATTATAGGGTGAACCCCCAAAACACAACCTGAGTCTCATGGCTACCCAAGGCAAACAGAAGCCCCGGGAATAACATGTGGCTTCTCTGCACAGCCGCAACTCTGAGGGGGGTTGGGGCAATACCCTGGCTCCTCCCCTCCCTTGCCGTGTGGCTTTGGATAAGTGACTTTACCTCTCTGAGTCTTGGTTTCCCCATCTCTTCAAGGGGGCTAACAATGCTGACCTCACAGGGTCGGTATGATGATTACTGCTAGTCACAGTGCCCAACACACAGCAGGCAACTGACAAAGGACAGCCATTATTATGACTGTTTTTGTACTGTCAAGTACTTGAGTGCTCAGCTCCCAAACCCCGTGTGGACTCGCCAGCAGAGACAGAGATCAGTGAAGACCAGAGACACCTGTCCTTAGGGATTCTGACTCAGGAGGCAGTAGGATATCAGTGCTAAAAATGGGACCTTGAAGAAAACGGAGGCCCAGAGACAGACAAGGCACCTGTCCAAGGTCACACAGCCAACAGGGAGGGGGCTGAAGGCACTGGAACCGGGGCCTTGACTCCTGGGGTCCTCCCCCCTTTCCTTTAGGAAGAATGGAAGTAGCAGAGAGAAGAGGTGGAGGAGGTGGGAACAGAGATGGTGGGCAGTGGGGACGATGAGCCATCGGCCGGGTCTTGGAGATCTCCCCAAAGCGGTCACGCTACCTTGTTGCCGAGAATCGGGACGTACGCATCAGTGATGCTCCACTTCTTGAGGTCGACCGGCCTGCGGGTGCGGCCCCGCGGGGAGCCGTAACGGAAGACATCATGGGCACTGTTGGAGCTGTAGACGATGAGGATGGTAATGAGGGCGAAGACAACCACGAACACCGCTGAGCGCTGCTCCTGGAGAGGGGAGAGGCTGGTGAGTGCCCAGCCACCCCACAGGCCCCCACCTCAGGGCCTTGCCACCTGCCGTGCCCGGCTCACTCCGGCTCTCGTCATTCCAGACGGGTTCAGGCACCACCCCCTCTGGCCCCCTGAGCACCCCCATCCCGGCACCGGTCACACTGCATTCAAACTGCCCCTCCCCCCCCCCACGCTTCCCAGTCACCTGCTCAGCCAATCCCTTACCACAGATGGACCAGTCGAACCTAGGAGAACAGAGGTAGACCTAGCCCAGAGACAGACAGGAGCTTGCCCAAAGCCAGAGATCAGGGGCCACAGCAGAGCTCAAGCCAGGGCCTCTCAGGCCTCAGGCACTTCTTGGGAGGGAAGAGACACTGGTGGTGGCCTGGGTCTGAGGCAGGTCCAGAGGAGCCCGTTTTGCTGAGGAAGTAAACGGCTGAGATGGGGACAAGAAATGAAGGGGGACTTACTTTGTTGCTACTCATCTCTCTCCGGCGTCTGCTGAGGGGCAGGGGCCGGCGTCCTGCAGGTGGCCCAGGGGGCAGGGATGTGGGGTCACACCTGCAAGTCACAGAAAGGTTATGGCTTGGGCGCTCTCCCCTAATACAGCTGATCAAAGGCTACACCTTCCCCACCCAACCAGCTTTCCTAGCCACCCGTGACTTCAAGGCTCAGGGCCATATCCATTTTGCAGACAGAGATACTGAGGCCCAGAAAGGGCAGGAACCTGCCTGAGGTCACACAGCCAGGTGGTGGCAGAGCCCTGTCTCTCTCCTTGCCCCTGGCTCTCTCCCACTCTGCTTGCTGAGCAGGGACCTCCCCACACCTTAGCTCCCCGAGAGGGCTGGCAGGCCTTAAAGCTGGCTCCCCAGCTGAGGGGCTTGACCGCCACCCACACACACTCCCAAACTCTGACTTAGGTCCCTGTGGCCTTGGAATAAAGCAATATGCTTTCTAGGTACCCAAACTCTTCTGCACAGGCACCCTTCCAGATCTTGCACAAACTGTCCGCTCTATCTAGAACACCCTGCCCTCTTGCACCCTGCTCATGCCCTCTCATCCTCCAAGCCTGGCGTAGGCCAACAACTTCCTGTGTGTCACCTCCCCGCTAGGCTGAGAGCTCTCAGATCTTCACTCACATTCTCTGCTGTGCCTCTGAAGCCACGGAAATGGGTGCAGGAGGTTCGCTGAATGACTTCGTTAATTAACAATAAGATCTTCGGCGATTAAGGGCAGACTCAGCAATGGGCTATAATCACAGCCCCACCCTGACAGTGGGGGTGGGGGGGGTCTCCAGTAAAGATGCAGCCCAGGACAGCCCTTCCTTCCTGCCCATCTGCCCTCAGCGGCCGTGGCTGTGAGGGGACATCCTCACTGGTCCTAGCTCCCTCCAGACCTCAATTTCCCCACCTGTCAAAAGGGAGTAAGTACTTGCACCCAGCCACCTCCACCAGATTCAAGGCCAAAGGGAGAGTGTGCTGAGGGAGAAACGGGTGCCCTGGGCTCCCCAGCTCCGTCCTCCCCCCCAGGGGCCTCCCAGCTCTCCCGCCGCTATCCCCGCCCCCTGACCTGGCCGCTGTTTACTCCTACACAGCCACCAGAAATAGCCACAGAACCTCAGGCCAAAGGAGGCTCCCCCCAATGTCGCTCCTGATTGGTTGGGCCCCGACTCCGCCCGCTGCCCAACCCCGCCCCTTCTCCGCGGGAGCCCCCCGCCCCTGCTCCCAGGCCGGGTCTCAGATTTCTCCCCGGGAGGAGGGCCAGGCAGGGAGCTCTCGGGACTCTCATTGGGTCCAGTGCCCGCGCGATACAGATCAGGAAACTGAGGCTCATTAGAAGAGAAAAGCAGCTTGTCTTTGGACTCACAGCCCGTTAGGGCGCAAGACAGGAGTCCAGAATCCCTGCGTCGTACCCACCAGCACTGACCCTCTGGCAGTCCAGGCCCTCACTGTCTAGGCGGAACCTCTCCTCTCACTACCGTTTCCTTCTTATGCCCCCCCACCCCCCACCCCCCGCTCCAGACACGCCAGGGCACTCCAGTTCCCAGGCTCACCCCCTGCTTTCCCACCTTTGCCTGAGCAGTGCCCTCAGCCAGTACCACCGACCCCCCTGGTCAGCCCTGTCACAATCCTGCTCTGATAAGGCCATGGTCATACAGCATCTCAGATGCCAGTGTGAATCCCGGTTCCACCACTTCCTGGCTGAGGGGCCTCGGGCAAGCTATGGGGCCTCTCTGAGCCTCAGTTTCCTCATCTCTGAAATGGTAATTATAAGGGTAGGTAACTTACGGGGTTGTTGAAAGGATTCGAGCAGATGTGGCAAGGGAAGCACGGGGCTTGAAAGTGCTCGATCAGTGCCTGTCAGTAGCTGCTAGTCTTGTGGTTATTCATTTGTTGGAAGCCTTCCTCACCTTGAGCTTGCGAAGGAAACGCTGCCCCTTCTCCGACACCTAGCCTAGTCACTTCCCTCTAATATCGAAGAAGGTGTGCAGGAAGCCACACTACGCATCACCCACTCACCCCATCCTCCGGGCAACGCTGCAAGGGAGGGGCTCTCATTCCCCATTTCACAGATAAGGAGACTGAGGTTCAGAGAGGCAGAGCTGCCCAGAGTGTGCTGGGGAACCTTGTTTACAGGCTTGTTGGCAGGGAGCAGCCCGGGGCTGAGCCTGTCAGGATCTCCCTCCAGGATCTCCCTGGGCTGGAATGTGCCAGAGGCCACCAAGTTTGTGCTCAGCACCTGGCCTAGCACTGGGGAGCAGGCCTGCTGGGGAGCGACTTGCTCAGGCTGGGGAGGCGGCAGCCCAGAGCGCTGGGCCAGGAGCGTGGCCTCAGCCCCGAGACGGGCAGTGCAGGAGGGCTCAGTCCGTGGGGGGCTGAGGTGGGGGCCACACCCTGCCCTCTGTTTGGGGGCTTTCCCTCCCTCAGCCGGTGGAGCCCTCCTGCAGGGTCGAGACGCCCCCACGAGCCGCGTGGGAGGAGGGCTCCGGGGAGAAGGGGGGGCTCCTAATGTCTACATGGGGGGTCGCTGAGCCCGAGGGTCCCCTGGTGGGGGGCGACTCACCCTGTCCGCCCCCTCTTGCGCTGACCCCCTCCCTAATTCCCGCACTCCGGGCGGTCCAGAGTCCTAGCCCCAGCCGGGAAGAGGAGGGAGGCAAGACGGCGGCAGGTCCCCGAGCTCTAATAGGGTAGGTAGCGGCAGGGGCCGCGCGAACCCTGCGACAGCCCTTGCGCGCGAGGACCGGGGTCTCCAGGCGCGGCTGCCGAGAGTGGGTCTAGGGGAGCCCTGGGGCCCCGCATCTTCCCCCTCACCGGGGGCTCCCGGCCCCTGCCCCGGGGTGCAGGCAGCGCCCCCCTCCCGCTGCCCGCCCCCGCGCGGCGCCCGCTCACCTCCCCCGGGGAGCGCCCGGCCCCCCGCGGCCCCCGAGCCCCCTCACATGGCGCCGGGAGCAGAGAGCCCGGGTCCGCGCTGCTCCGGCCGCCCAGGCCCCGCCGCAGCCCCCGCCCGCCGGGTCCTAGCGCCGCCGCCGCCGCCGCCGCCGCCGCTCGGGCCCAGGCCAGGGAGGCGGGCGGAGCCTGGAGGGGCCGCGGGTGGCTCCGCCCCGGAGCGGCGCCGGCGGGGAAGGGTGAGGGGCAGGCGACCCCGAGCCCTGACTGCATTCGCGCGTCGCTTGCTCCTCTGGGCAGTCGGTAGTGGCAATGAAAAAAAAATCACAACAGCCTTCCGGAGCCCTTCAGCGTGAGTTGGACCCGCTTCTATCTCGCTTTATTGCCTCCACGACCCGGATGGGGAAACTGAGTCCCGGGGCACACTGCGCTTGGGATCAGTTGAGTTTCTCCTGGGCTCCCCTACCCCGGGCCTCCAGAGCCCCGTATCCACTAGTCACCGTGGGTGAACTCAGGGGTCCTCCCTTGGATTCAAGTCCAGCTGTGCCATCTACTAGCTGTTTGGGGTTGCATACTACTAACCCTTCCTCTGCCTCTGGAAAATTGGAAGAACAACCTCATAGGGTGTTGTTAGGATTAAAAATGTTACGTTACTTCTTAGAGTTATCGAGGTATTCATGACATCGTTTTATGTGATGTGGCCGTGACAGGGGTCTGCTTAAAAAAACAAAGGAACAGCCCAGTAAAATGAAGGATGCAGATCAATATGCACGGACAGGAAGAAATGTTCAGGATATTTACAGGCTATTTAAGTGAAGAAAGCAAGTGAAAGAAGTTAATCATTCTGGAAAAGGAAATTGTAAAAATTTGCTTTCCGCTCCTGGATATGTCCCCTGGAGAAATTCTTGCACATGTCCACAAGGAAGTTTGGAGTAGCAGGGCTTGACATAACACAAAACTGGAAACAGCCCATATATCTGTCAACGGGAGAATGGATTTGTTTCCTTGGCAGGATGCCGAGGTGGAATATTATATAGCAGGGAAAAATGAATGAGCTACAATGACATGGATGGATTTTAGAAGCATCAGCAGTGAAAAAGACAAGTCCTGGAAGACAAATAAAACTATACACTATATTGGTTTTTTTTTTAAAGGTTTTATTTATTTATTTGACAGAGAGAGAACACAAGTAGGCAGAGAGGCAGGCAGAAGCAGACTCTCCACTGAGCAGGGAGCCCGACGTGGGGCTCGATCCCAGGACCCTGGGATCATGACCTGAGCTGAAGGCAGCCGCTTAACCAACTGAGCCACCCAGGCGCCCCTATACACTATATTGTTTGAGCATATAGCTGGCACCCCTCACAGCCAGAGACAGGTTTAGCTTTTGCCTATCCAAATGATTAAAGTTTTAAACCAGCAAAAGTCAAGAACACAGCTGTCTCCGTGCGGGAGGCAGGGATGCAAGAAAGGGGAGGGGCGGGGAGGGGAGGAAATACAGAGGCTCGCAGTTCTAATACCACTCTGGTCTTTCAGCAGGGACCTGGGTTCAAGAGGTTTGTTATATTATTATGTTTTATAACTTACAAGTATGACGCATGCCATCATTTCTATGTATCACAGTATTCAAAAAGAAAAGAGGAGGAAATAAATGAAAATATGGAAAGACCTTTTGCCTGTCAGTGATTAAAGTGTTAAGAGTGGTTATTTCCAGGGGCGCCTGGGTGGCTCAGTCATTAAGCATCTGTCTTCGGCTCAGGTCATGACCCCAGAGTCCTGGGATCGAGTCCCTCATCGGGGAGCCTGCTTCTCCCTCTGCCTGCCACTCAGCCTGCTTGTGCTTGCTCTCTTTCTCTCTGACAAATAAATAAAATCTTAAAAAAAAAAAAAAAAGAGTGGTTATTTCTGGAATGATGAGATTATGGGCTGCTTTTGCTTTTTTGTGGGGTTTTTTTTTTTTTTTTTGAGGAGGGTGCTTCACTGTATTTTCTAGAAATTTTAAGATAGTGATTACACAATGTTTTTATATTTAAAAACTGAGTTTTTAACTTACAAAAAAATGAACTGCATCTATAACACGATTTCTTTAAAAAAAAAATGTACACAAAAGGTCTGGAAGAATCCACACTGGACTACTGGTTGTAGTTTCCCCCCGGAAAATGGAGGTGGGGCAGGAGGGGTGGGTGCTACCTTCACCTTTTGCTTTGTCAAGTTCCAGGTTGTTTACACTGAACTCATTTGTTTTGTTTTGTTTTAAAGATTTCATTTATTTATTTGACAGAGAGAGAGCATGCACAAGTGGGAGGGGGGTGGCAGAGGGAGAGGGAGAAACAGACTCCCCGCTGAGCAGGGAGCCCCACGTGGGGCTCGATCCCAGGACCCTGGGACCATGACCTGAGCTGAAGGCAGATGCCCAACCAGCTGAGCCACCCAGGCGCCCCTGGACTCATTTGTTAATAGCACTTTGTGTTCCATTAAAACAAAAGTGGGCTGGGGGCGGGCCCAAGGTCCGTCTTCTAGGCTGTGGCGACACCCCCACTGGGCAGTAGGGCTCAGTGGAGAGAGCCAAAGGTGGAGTCAAGGCTTCTTGCGCCCCTGCTGTCCAACTCCTGCTTCCTGAGCCCCACCCCACTTCAGCCACCAGAACTTGCCCTGCCAGCCCCAGGACAGAAAACCGTGCGTCAGGGAACAGAGCAGTCCGGTGGGAAGCCTGATGCTGGGGGTTCAGAGAAGAGGAGCCCCTTGCCCAGTCACCCCGCAGGTTGGAGGCTCTACCAGGGGCGGGGGCGTCCTGTCCCCAGCCCTGCTTCCTGCCCCAGGCCAGTGACAGGGACTCCGGAAATCAGAAAGTGCGACAACCCAGCTCCTGGACCAAATCCGGACCTGGAGCTCCCCCCTCAGGCCTGCCATGTCTGCGGGCCCAGGCTGACTCCAGAAGGCTCGGCTTTAGGGCCGGCTTCCCTCTCCTGGGCCCCAAGAACAACAACCATGTCAATAATCACAAGGATAAGAACAGCTCTGGTGTGTCGGGTGCTTTCTCCTTTGCTAAGCACTTTGCAGACAGACCTCACTGATGCCTTAAAATAACCAATGAGATGGGCACCAGGCTCTGGAGGGAGAAAACGAGGCTTGGGGTGTGCGCAGGTGCCCAGGCTGGGATTCCCCCATGCCTGTCTGCTGAATAACCATGAGCTGTTCTGCCCCGAAGCCCCAGGCCTGCCCCACGCCCACAGCGGGGCTTTCATGGATGGGCGTCCATGTTAATGCTGGTGCTACCCTCCAACCCTGCCCAGAGCCAGTCCTCCCCACGGGGCTGCCCATCCATGGTCTGCCAGTGGTGGCCTCTGCGTCAGGCCTTCCTGTCCCAGAGTGGGGGTCCTAAGTGTGACCACCCTCCCTCCTTACCCCTTAGCAATCTTTGCCCTAGGAAGAGCCTGCAGGGATCTCCTCACCCACCACCCCAGCTCCCAGTTTACACGGACGAAACCAAGGCCCACAGAGGGGTCAATACCTGCCCCAGGCTCCCCACTGTCTCCTGGGCAGAGCCAGTGTGAGAGCCAAGCCTGGAAACTGTAGCCTCTTTCCCTCTGGACAGAGAAAGCGCCCAAGGGAAAGGCCTTTGGAGGAGAGGCCAGTAAGAGCCCCCAGCGGGTGTGGGCCTGCACACAGGCGCTGTCCATAAGCTCATGTTACCTGGGCAGTGCGCCTGGAACCAGGAAGTAGCTGGTTCTTAACAGGCTGGAGTGGGCAGGTGGGCCCAGGTGACCCTGGACACAGGAGCCCACTGGTATCCAGAAGAACCAGTAATCCTTTCCTCACCCGGCTAGATGAGGTGTGAGTGTGAGTTCCTGGCCTGGTCCCGAGTTCCTTCCGAGAAGAAACCCCTTAAGACACTTCCAGGCTCTGAGGCTCACCTGGTTTCCCCTTTGACCTCAGGAGGAAGTAGATACGTCCCCAGCAGGCCTGCTGAGGGACAAAGGAGCAGGGCTGTGGACAGGAAAACAGAGCCCCAAAGAGGGGCTGCACACCACAGTGCCCCACCCCCACCACACTCCTCTCGCAGGTGGGAGGAAGCTTCTGCCCTCAGAGAGCCTTCGGCAGGCCCAGAACCCTTCACCAGAGCAGCCAGGGGTCCTCCTCTTTGGCCCAGAGGAAGTAGCTGGTGGATTGTTCCTGCCAGGTCGCCACCGTAGAAAGACACATTATTTAGGCCAACCCAGCAAAAAACATCCATGGGGGCAGGACCAGGACAGAGGTTCCTCTGCACACTGGGCCCAGGGGCTGAGCCAGCATCTGGGGGGGAGCGGGGGGGGGAATGGGGTATGGAGCCGGAGGAGGTGGCAACCTCTTGGGAGGGGAGTGAGTTCAAATCCCATCTGGTCCTTGGAGACCGAGGTTGAGGCTGTGAGCAGGGAGGCAGCTGGTGAGGGTAGGAGGCGTTCTTGCCCCTCTGTCACTGCCAAGGGGGGCCTGGGTTAGCCAGGGAGATCCCTTTGAAAATGATGGGTCCTGCCTATCAAGCTATCAAGTGCCAGCCCTGGGGCCATCTCTCTGAATTCATACAATCCCCTGGGGTAGGGACTACTTTTTTTTTTTTTTTTTTTAAGGAGGCTCCACACTTACATGGGGTTTGAACTCACAACCCTGAGATCGAGAGTCGCACGCTCTACCGACTGAGCCCGCCAGGCGCCCCAGTAGGGACTACGTTAATACCTTTTACAGATGAGGAAGCTGAGGCCGGGAGAAAGGCACTAATCTGCCAGGGTTCCACAGCAGGAGACTGAGCAAGGCCAGGTCTCATTCCAGAGCCCTCCCTCTGAGCCTGGAAGCTCCCCTCCCAACCCTCTGATGCCAGGTTACCTCTGCCCAATACCTGCCCCTGAGACACTGGCTACTGCCAAGCCAGTGGGCCTGCCTGGCACTGGGGAGGGGGTGCTGGGTCACCCGGACTCCCTCACACAACTGGCCCCATGATTTGTGGGGGTCCAGTGCCAAAGGAAAATGTGCAGCCTCTTATTAAAAAACAGAGTAAGAATTTCAAGTTGACAATAGCAGGAGCATTACGCAAAGCACAGGACTCTGAACAGCTGTCTAGGTTATAGGCCCGTGAAGCAGGCCCCAAACCCTGGGGCAGGGAGCCAGAATCCCAGGGCTCCATCCCAGCTGAGAGCCCAAGGTCCTGGGGTCCCGGTTCTCCATTAGTCTCCTGGTCTCCAGTGAAGGAAGGAAGGAGGGAGGGAGGGAGGAGAGGAAAAGGGGCGGGAGGAGTAGTGAAGCCCTCTGGTGGGCTCTAGCCAGCCCCCTAGCGCAGGGCCCAGGCACTCAGGCAACTGCATCGTGGCTCAGCCAAGCAGCTTTTCCTTATCTGTAAAATGGGCTCCTCCCAGGGTGACTGCAGGGCCTTGCTCACTGGCTCTTGCTAACGGTTTACTGGTGGGTCTGCTTTTCCCACCTTATAGGTGAGGAAACTAAAGCTCAGGGGCGGAAAGCCTGGGGCCTGCCCTCGGCCTCCCTTTATTGCAGTGTGACCAACTCCAGAGTTAACAGGGGATTTCACTGGTAAGGTCCTTGGAATTTAACCCGGACCAGGGAGGCAACATGGGGTGGAGGAATTTCCTTCCCACCCTGAGTCATTTCCTCCCAGGCCCTAGACTCTCTTCCCACTGGTGCAGGACAAGGGATCCTCTGGAAGCCTCTGAGTTGGGGCGTTCCCTGAGCCAAGTGCAGCCAGGGAGCCAGACCTCCTGGCCTGGTGGGGAAGCAGGTAGGCTCCTGGGGAAGAAACACGTGGGCAGATTAAACGGCCAGAAGCCCAGCCAGCTGTGGGCCTGGGAAGGGGCCCGAGGACTCAGCCTGCCCTAGAGTCAACAGGTTATGGGACTGTGGCAGGGGGAGGAGCCCCAATCCCCACCCCCAGACACATGATCACACTTCAGACAGGCTTCCAGAAAACACATGTTTACCCGTACACTCCAGAGGTGGCCCTGGCAGTCACAGTTCAAAGGCCCCTTTGCCCAATGAACCGCAAGCTGCAGGCTGCCCTGACCAGGGCAACCACCCTGGGAAGTGTGGCACCAAAGGCAGGTGGAGGGGGGAGAGTGAAGAGGGACCAGGGCTGTTGCAAGATCGAAGTCACGATGCTGGTGAGGGGGGGAGCCACTGGCCCTGGGGCAAAGGCCACTGGACAGATCCAGAGAAGGGATGAACCCCCAAATGAAGATTTGGATGACTCAGGGAGTGGGGTGTGGAGGAGGGTGCAAAGGTCACCACGGTCCTCCTCTTGCCCCCCTCAAGTCCGGGGCCCTAAAAGGGCTCCAAGTGTCCCCAGGGTAGGGCAAGAAGGCCCACGAGGCATATGGCGGGAGACATGACCCATAAATTAAATGTTTTTGGTGGAGTGTGGAACAGAGGCCCTGTGAAGGCGTGGCGGCCGGCCAGGTGACGGGGCTACTGGGTCCTCCACGATGGGTGGGCGAACACTATGGGCCTCTTCTTGGCCCAGCGAGAGAACACAGCCTTCTCGGTGATGAAGCGGTGGGCACTGCGGGGCGCCCGTTCGTGCGCCAAGTACATCTGACACTCGTCCAGCCGGCCCTTCTCAAAGTAGTGGTAAGGCACCGAGGGGTGGCTGTCTTCCCTGCGGGTGGGGAAGAAAGACAGATGTGGGGTGTCTGAAACTCGCCCGCCTCCCGCCACCTGCTGCCGCCTCCCGCGGCCACCCCTCACCGGGTACTCCCACCGAGCCCCATGCCAGGCCCCGGGGAAGGTCAGGACACGCAGGGAGGAGCAGGACAGTCCACGGATCTCAAAGGCCAGAGTTCAACCCCGGCTCTGCCTCTGGCAAGCTGGCTGACACTGGGCCAGAGATGTACTCTCTGAGCATAAACAACCTGTCTATAAGACGGACATGGGCACCTGAGAGCACAAGTCCAAAAAGATCAAGACTGCCAAGTGCAGGGGCCTTGGCAGAGGGCACACGGGCTCCCATCATCTCGCCTACGTGCTCATCAAGCAAGCTCCAGAGAGAACAGAAGATAAAGATCGGGGACCTGTTCTGCACGCTCCACACGTGTTACTTACAATAATGCTGGAGTACTACAGTATCAACGGCAACAGGTCAGATGTAATCTATCCCTGACACGCATTATCAGCTGGTGCCCGACGATGCCATTCTAAGCACTTCGGTAGACTATTCTCTCTCTAAATGTTTCTACCACCTTCTAGGGAAGGTGTGATTATTTTCTTTTACACTCGAGAAAACGGAGGCCCTGGGAGGTGGCAGGACTGGCCCAAAGTCACAACGGTAGGGTGAGACCGGTCATGAGGCTGGGCTCCTTCCCACTGGCCACTGGGTCCAACAGGTGTCTGAGCCCCAGCCACCCACTGGGGAGCCCACACACCCTGCGCTCCACAGCTCTGAGGTCCCCCAGGCTGAGTCAGGACAGGGGGCCCACAGTCCTCCCTGCCCCGGCCTTTCCTCCCACCCAGGAACCGGCCGGCCTGACCTGCAGTAGCTGTCGCTGACCATTCCATAGACCACGATCTCCTCACACAGCTCCAGGGCGAGGACCATGGTGAACCAGCCAGTGCTGAGAAAGGAGCCCGACTGCCTCCTGGCAGGAAGGAGAATAGTCAGCCCAGCTGCTCCCCTGACTCAAGTGGGAGCCAGGGGCTGTGTGGCGGACCCAGCCTCAGCTCTCTTAGGACATAGTGGGGAGGGGACAGAGCCAGCCCGAGATCGGCAGCAGGTAATAGGTGGAGCTGGATGCAAACCCAGGCCTGTTCAGCCCCTTACCACCCACACAGGACTTCAGAAAACCCCCAGACGATGGTGTGGGGACCCGGGTCACAAGCTCTGCTCATCTAAGGGAGCGAGCTTGGGGAGATGGTGGGCGGTCATAGCGCACAGCGGTTGAAAGTGGGTAAGATAGTTGTCTGGCGGGGCGCCTGGGTGGCTCAGATGGTTGAGCAATCTGCCTTCAGCTCAGGTCATGATCCCAGGGTCCTGGGATTGAGCCCCACGTCAGGCTCCTGGCTCAGTGGAGAGTCTGCTGCTCCCTCTCCCTCTGCCTCTCCCCCTGCCCGTGCTCTCTCCCTGTCTCTCTCTCTCTCTCAGGTGAATAAATAAAATCTTAAAAAAAAAAGATGGTTGTGTGGAGTCAGACGGTCTTCAGTTCAAACCCTGAATCTGCTCTACAGTATCAGGTTTGCTCCTAAACCTCTCTGGGGCTCACTGACCCATCTGTGAAATGGGGAGAATTATAGGTAGTTATAGGGAGGGAACACTGTCTGCTCAGCACCCTCCAATGCTCCATGCCCACCTGGGAGCAAGGGGCTGTGTGGGCAGCCCAGGCCTCAACCCTCTCAATGCACCAGCACTGTTACTCTCCCAGCTGAGGGCCACTCACCTCCACCTCAACAGAGGGGTTATGGGGTGGCTCACTCATTCAAACTCAATACCTCCCAGGCCCTGTGCCGGCCAGGAACCTGTCACAGCCAGTGCTAACATTCTCAGGGGAGGCGGCAGAACTGCTGAGAAGACAAGGAGACAAAGGAAGGGGACAAAGAACGTCAGGCAGGGAGGTACGCCTTCAGACGGGGTGGTCAAGGAGGGCTTCTCTGAGGAGGTGACATCCCATCCAGACCTGAATAGCAAGGAGTCAGTCATAGGCAGATGTGGGGGAAGAACATTCTAGATGGAAGGAACAGCATGCATACGCAAGGCCTGCTTCTGAGGAAGCCCAGATGGCTGGGGCAGGTTGAGTGAAGGGAGATGACGAGATCATGGACAGGCAGGGGCCAGATCATAAGAGGCTTGCAGGCCAGGGGAGGGGAGGGGGTGGGAGCCTCCACTTTACTCTGCATGTGAAAGTGAAGCTGCTATCAGGTGGTTGAGGGCAGGCCACCAATGGGATGAATTCACTAGGGTGGTTGGGGCTCAGACTACAGGGGGCCAGAGCACCAGCAGCAAGAGGGTGCCACAGGGGTGGGGGGGATGGGGCGGGGGGTCGGGGGAATGGTGGCTTAGGTCAAGGTGGCACCTGTGAGCACAGGAGAGTCAAGAGCCCACGATATGTGGCAGATGATGCAATGAAAGGAATCAGGTGCAAAGCCCAAGCTTCTGGCTGGGAGACTGGGGGGGGGCGGCTGTATTTCCTGAGTGGGGGGGGGGGGGGGGGGGGGGGGGGGAGCCAGTGTGCAGAGGAGGTAGGCGGGAGTCAGCGGGTGCGCGATAAAATGAGATCTTCCATGCAGAGTGCTTAACTCAGTGCCTGGTGCACGGAGAGGGCTGTTACTACTGTTAACTGTTACTTTTGTCATCTGGCAGGGACTTTAGAGACCAATTCAGATCTCAGGGAGTATCCCCTCCAGAGGGAGGCGCTCCCTGATGCTGCCCCACCCAGCAGTGCTCCCGTATCTTGCGCTTGCAAAGCCAAACACCCCTCACCACCGCTGGGGATTTTTTCATCTTTGTGCTAATTCAGTGAATGACAGTCTTTCTGCTTCTGTCCCCCATCAGAGGCAGGAGCACATCTGCCTCCATCACTGCTGCCCCCCAGCGCCTGTCAGAGCAGACCCTTGACGGACAAGAAGCTGCTGGAGAAGGCATGCCCCCAGCCCGCAGGGAGGCCCCCCCGCAGGCCAGCGCCAGGCTCACCGGTTCTTGCCCGTCTCGTCCTGGAAGACCTGGTCGCAGTAGGCCATCATGCGCTCGGTGAAGGTGTACACCTGCAGGCCTGGGTACATCCTGGTGAGCTGTAGCAGCGTGCGGTACGTGCGGCCGCCCAGCGCCCGGTCCATGTGCCTGCCCTGGCCCCACACCACGTAGAGTGTGTCTCGAGCATGCTGGAAGTAGTGCGAATAGTTGCGCAGCAGCAGGGGCACGCTCGTGTGCGAGACCACGCGCAGGGTGCTGCGCCGGCCCACGTCCGCCTCAAAGCCCACGGTGGGCGCCTGGTTCATGCGCAGTACGCACTCAGCACTGTCGATCTCGGCACCCAGGCCCGAGCCCAGCATCTGGCCCGAGCTGGACACCACGGCGCAGCTGCGGCACGGTTCTCGGACCAGCGGCTGCAGGGAGAGGCAGAAATGGAGAGAAAGGCATGAGCGCACAGCTCCCACAGCCCTGCTCCAGCCACTGACTTCGCCTGATCCCTGTATCAGCTCCGAGTACAGCATCAACCCATTTTGCAGATGAGGAATTTGAGACTGGGCAGGCGGCGTGACTTTCTTACGGTTATATGGATAGCCAGGGGCAGGGCTGAGACGCAGAGCCCCATACTTCCTCCTCAGCCATATTCATGGCCCTTTTCCCGATTGCTGAGGCCCTAACAGGCCCTCCTTCATGGGTTCCTTATTAGTTACATGAGCAAATATTTATAAAGCACTTAGAGCAATGCCTGGCACAGACGGGGTGTCACATGTGTGTTTGTTAAGTAAACATGAACCTCAGCTCTTCACAATCACTGTTCCTCTGCCCAAGCCCCACTCACGTTATGCCCAGTTCATAAGTAAAAGCGGGGTCTTTAGTGCCACAATAACATTGAGAACCCCTGGTTCTGAGCCTGAATCCTGGCTCAATCACTTCCTCTCTCCTGGAGCCTCAATTTCCTCATCTGTCAAATGGGGATGAAAATATTATCTACTTCATCAGGTTGCGAGGACTCAATGAAAAATGCCTGGAGAGTGGGGCGCCTGGGTGGCTCAGTCAGTTAAGCATCTGACTCTTGAACTCAGCTCAGATCTTGAAAAAAAAAGAAAGCAAGCCTGGAGAGTGATCAGCACAGACCCAGAGCACAGTGAGGGCCCAACCACCATCTCATTATCACTCGAAGAGCAGAAGCTGAGTCAACATGCCTGCAAATGTTCCCAGAAAGGGCCTTGCTCTTCACTCCAGGTCTCCACGTCCTCCTGGGAGTACAGGAGTTTACAGTGACCTTTATCCCACCCTGGGACATTTTATATCTAACATAATGTTGATTTAGGGACTCATGGGTCCATTTTCCAAGCCCCCAAAATACAGAACAAGACCTCTTTATTCTGCTTGCAGTTTGAGCCTGTCTTCACAATGGGGGTCTGTTCAGATCTGAGGTCACCACCAACCCCAGGAGACATTCTGCTTCTCCCACAAGGTCTTAAACGTCTTTAAAATATTTAATTACAACTCGTCCATTTTGATACCCAAAACCTGGATTTCTGGCTTCTCTTAAGAAACCCAGAGGATCTGGATCTGGCTACTCTGAGCCCACATCCCCATGAGCTCTTGAGTGTCTAAAATATTCAGTGGCCACTAGCGTGGAAGATAGGATAGCATCTACCTGGCCCACCCCACCACTGGTCCCACCTGGCCAAAGCCCCAGTGGTTTTGCATCTTGATCAAATATTTATACAGCACCTGTTGCGAACACTGTCCATTCAACCCAATCAAATCTGCACAGCCACTCTGTAGAGAAGGAACTACAAGATGGTCTCTTACTGATGAGGAGGCAACCAAGACTCAGAAATTAAGACCCAAAGTATGTCCCCTCCAAGCCGGGGTCCCTGAACATGCCTCCCAGTGCAGGATGCCTTTGAGAAAGCTACCATAGGGAGGCACTGAAATCAGGGTGAGGGGGTAAAGTATTCTAAACCGCGCCTGGCACAGCAAGCATGGGGAGGTGGGTCGTCACCCCTGAACCCCAGTGTCCCTGTCTCCCCATGAGAGGGAGAGCTCTGGGGTTGACATGACTTCTCTCTGTCATCTCTATCCCTGGCAGCCATCAGTACAAGGCAGGGCCCATCCAAATACACATCTGCTGCATGAATGGATTATGCGCATACATAGTCAATTTTAAAGACACACAGAACGATGCACAGATCACCATAGTGGGATGGTGTCTGTCTCCCCCACCGGGTCTAAGAGCTCCAGATGGCCAGCCACCCTGGCTGACTCACCTTTTTTACCTCCAGCACCCAGCTGAGAGCAGCCAGGCAATATCTGTTGAATTAAAAAAAAAAAAATTCCTCTTAGAACTTGGGGCTCACAGAGGTGAAGTGGCTACTCAATGTCACAGAGCTGGTGAGCAGAGGGGCCAAGCCTGGGGCCCAGGCTGGCCTGGCATGAGCCTGGTTCTCACTTACGCCCAGAGAGTTGGGGGCACCCTGGCAGCCGTTGCCGGCCCTGTCGCGCGACACATCGTCCGGCCAGCTCACCTTCCCATCTGGCACGCTGCTGTATCCGCTGAAGCGCAGGGGCCCCGGCACAGTGGGCCTGGAGTTGGTGGAGGGCTGGGGGTCCAGGCAGGAGGCCAGGCAGAAGGGCAGGCCAGCCCAGCAGCACAGCAGGATGTAGGCAGCAGAGAAGCCCAAGGAGCACAGGGTAACGAGCAGGAGCCGGCCCTGGGGGATTCAGCGGTCGTGGGGTGTGGGCAGGGGTCCCTGGGGCTCCTAGAAGCTCATGCCCCAGCCCCATGGGTCCAAACCCCAGCTCAGTAGCTTCCAGAACATTAGCACAGTCCATGGTCTCTGTTAACCAGGGCTTCCTCTGGGCTGCCAGGCTCAGGCCCTGGAGACGAGCCCTACTATTATCCCCATAGTCTAGATAAAGAATCAGGACGGGGCTTTAAAACCAGGCTGCAGAGCCCATGCTCTTAACCGGAAGCCTAGGTGCACTGTGCAGGCTTGGGTATGACTGTCCACCCCTCTGGGCCTGTTTCTGCTTCTAAAAAATTGGGGCGCATAATGCCTGCAATGTGAACGTACAGTAAGCTCTGTGTACTCCAAAGTGGTGCACAGAGGACAGGAGAGCAGCCCCTCAGAAGAGCAGCCATCCTCCTTCAGACCCGGGGCCGAGGCTGCCAGTGTGCCCACGTCTTGCCCCCTCCCCCAGGGGCTCAGTGACCAGCCTCCTAGCTCATGATCTGGGTCAGCGGCCCAGGAAGTGAGGGAAGTGTCACTCAAAGAACGGTTCCAATAATTGAAAGCTGCCGCTCAGAGGCTCCCACCTCCACAAAACACGTGCCAGAGGCCATTTGAACCAGGAAGCCCTCCAGGCCCATTGGCCCCGCTGGCAGGCTTAGTGACCAAGCCTTCAAGGGGGGGCCACCAGGAAGAGGGCATGACCCGGGGCTGCCCTCATGTGCTGGGCCACCATGGTCACTGTGTGTGTCTCTCTGGGCTCTAATATTCTCCCAGCCTGCCCAAGGCACAGGTCCCCCCTCAGAATCCACCTAGGAGCTGTTGGTGCTGAAAACCAGAGGGGGGGAAAGCAGCCCCCCCGCCCCCACCCAGGCATATCCTACCAGAGGCCTACCCTTTTCTGCCCACAAGCCACATCAGCTTCTAAAAATAAATCTCTCTGTGGCCAGCTGTGCGGGGGAGGGGGTTCAGCCCATGAGGCCTCAGGCTCTGCCTGGCACCTGGTCCTCTGCCCACAAGGAACCCAGAGATCTGAATTCAGGTGGTCGTGGTGGACTCCCCCAACATCCAGGGCCCTCTCCCACAACCAGGGGCTCCTGAGTAAAGTCAAGAGCAGCTAAACCGCACTTTCACACCATGTCCCCCTCCCAGGTGGGTGCCTCACCTGGGTGGCCTCCGGGTGCTTACAGGAGATAGTACTATTATCTATCTCCATGTCACAGGGGAGATGTGCAAGGCCCTGAAACCAGAGAGGGAACACCACTTGCCTGAAGCCACACCGCCTGCCAGACCAGATCAGCAGGGCTTTAAGCCAATCTGCCCTTCTTAGCTCAGGAGCAGTGGGTCAGAAGTGAGTCAGTCCTGGGGTGGGATAGGTTAGGAGGCTGCTGTGCCGGAAGTTCCCCAAGAGCCTTCCTCCTTACACCACTTACCGGGGCCTTCATGCTGCTGCCGCTGCTCAGCAGCCACCGCGCTGCCGTCTCCAGGGCTCCCGCTGGGAAGGGGTGCGGGCCAGGCACCTGCCAAGATCCAGAAACTCAGAGCTGGGTCCTGGGGCTCTGAGGAAACGGCGCAGGGAAACTGAGGCAGGGGAGGGTATGGGCCAGGGTCAAGGCAGATGACTCCCAGGAATCAAACTCCTTTTAAAGCCCCCAAACACCGGACAGAGCTGTCCTCATCCTAAAGGAGCTGGTATCGGGTGACCTTCGGGGAAATCTCCCGCCAACCCAATTCCCATTGTGCAGATGGGGAAGGAGAGGCAGGGAGGGGGAGCCCTCGGCTCAAGGTCACCCGTCGAGTCCGGGTCAGTTAGAACCAGGAGCCAGGAGCCCCGACTGCCACCCCTATACCCTCCTACCTCACTACAAGAGGGATGAACGGTGAGGCCTGGGGCGGGATAATTCCACCCCTCTCCCAAATTCCACCGCCCCCTCCCCTGGCCAGGCGCTAACCAGGCGGACGGGCTGGGGCGCTCCGGCTGCTCTCGATCCGCCGCTCGGAGCTCCATGGCCCGCAAACCGGGCGGGCCGGGCGGGCCGGGCGGGAAGCCGGAGCCCCGGGGCGGAGGCGGCACCGGAGCCGCGGCTTCTGGAGGCTGGAAACCGAATGGGAGCCGCCGGCACCGGGGGCGGGGTCTGCGAGGACGGGGAGGAGACAGGCGCGCTGGGGGCGGGTCCCGGGCGACGGGGGCGGGACCTACGAGCACCGCCGGCGCGGCGGGGGAGGGAAGTGCGTGGCTGGCGGCGGGGACCTCCGGGATGGGGGCGGGGCCTGCGGGCCAGGGGCGGAGTCGGAGGGCGCGCATCTTCCCTTTTCTTGCGCTCCCACATTTCTTCCAAGCTCCGGTCGGAGGTCGGGTGGGAGGCGCGCAGAGAAAAGACCTAGGGAGTGTGGGAACCGGCGCGCCGTGGCTGCCTAGCGGTTCGGACTCGAGTTTCTCCATTTGTGAAATTGGGGGATGGGTAGGAAAATTAAGCAGGGGCTTGGGGTCAGGCAGCCCTGGGTTTCAAGCTTGTAGGATTGCCAGATTTAGCCAGTAAAATACACGACGCTCAGTTATATTGGCATTTCAGATAAACAGTGCATAATTATATTAAAAATCTGACATTCCTGTGTAACTGGGCATTCTATATTTTCTCTGGCAACCCTAGCGGGACTGTCTCTAGTGGTGTGACCTCCACCTGAGCCTCAGTTTTTCTCCTCTATGAAGTGGGTATAATAACAGCACCTTCCTGCCAGTGAGGTAGTGCAGGGCAGCTGTGGTACAGTTAGGATTGAACCCTGAGCTATCTCACTCCCCCGTACTTTCACCTCCCCCTCCCCAAAGTGTCCTGCAAACTCCAACCAACTCAGTCTTGCATCCCTGCAGATGCTGAAATGTATCCCATTTGGAGGCTCAGATGGGATCCCCTGGGGAGTTCAAACTCAAGTGCCTTCAGGGGTCAGAAAGGGTTAAAAGAGCAGCTATGGGGCAATAGAGAGGAGTGGGCCTGCGGAGAAGTAGAGAGCACGCCTCTCAGCTAAAGTGTTTTTTATAAAATGCTCTATGGGCCAGAAAGCTCATCTTACCACCTCCATCACACCTCCCTCCACAGGATCTTCCCCTGGGATCCAGGCTAGGTTTCTGCTCCCACCCCATTTCAAACTCCATTTGCCTTTTTCGAAGAGCCTCTGGTGTGGGCACAATGCCAAGGTACCCATGTTTGGGTATCTGCACCCAGATAAGTAACTTCCCAAGGCTACCTATCCTGTTCCGGTGCAAAGCCAAGTCCTCCATGCCTCTCTCCGTCCTGGGGGGGGGGGGGCACGCTAAAGCAGCCCTGCCCCTGAGCTTCCTTTGAGCACAGGCCTACTTTGTCCCTCCCCCGCAGCCTGGGCACAGCTCAAAGGTAGTGGTCCAAGTTCAGTCTCTCTCTGTGCTCTCCTGTTCACTCAAGGCCAGGCACACAGTGGGTCCCCCAAACCAGAGTTCCTCTGCCCCCACCCCAAGTCCTCATCCTTCAGGTTTCTCTCCTCATAGCTCCAACCCCAAAGGGACAATGGTGAGAAAATTCCCTAAGGATTCATTCGTCACCCACAATGGCTGGTGAAGTGACCATTCTTTCCCCGAAGAGGCAACTCCCTCCTTGTCAGGGCCACATGGAGACAGGGACATGCCCAAATGTCCTGGACTCCCGGAGCAGATGAGGATCACACATCTACAGTAGAACTGCCAGTGGGAAGTTCTGCAGGCTCAGATAAAGCTCTTCAGTTTGATTTTGGCAAAAGTCCACTCTCTTTACCCTGACCTACAAGGCCCTGTACGGTGGGAAATTCTGTCTTCTTAATCACCTTCTACCTACCCTGGGCACCCTTCTGACCCCCAATCACATTAAGCTCATGCCTACCTCAGGACCTTTGCACTTGCTGTTTGCTCTACTCATATAACCAGCTCCCTCCTGTCATTCAGCTCAAATGTCACCTCTTCAGAAAGGCCCTTGCCAACCACTCTATGTGACACTGCATGCCCATCCCTCTAAGTCCCACCTGATTGATCTTTTTCACAGTACCGGTCACAGTCTGAAATCATCCTGTGTACTAACCAGTCCACCCACCCACTAGACTCTCAGCTACATGGGGGCAGAGTCAGGCCAGTCATGTTCTCAGGCATTTCCAGCACATGCACAACACCCAGCACACACTAGATGCTAGATAATGTCTGTTGAATGACCAAGTTAGGAGAACCAGGAATCCTGGGTCCCATGAGATCTTGGATAAATCACGTCCCTCTCCAGCCTCAAGCTCTGGCTCAGCCCATTGCCAGAAACCCAAGGTAGGTGAGTGGCTGAGCCATCCTTATCTATGAGTGCAGGACTCTCAGGCTCTGACTCATCCTGCCAGATCCAGACCCTGGGGAAACATAGGGTCAAACCCCTGTTTTCTGCTCTGCAGCCCTACCACTGCTGAGCTTCCTCATTGCACCCACCTCCTGAGTGATGACCTTAAAGCTCTATGTGTCAACTTCCTGCTGAGCCAAAACAAGAAATTCTCTGTGACTTGTGCCAGTTCAGAGATCTTGAATAATCATCCAAGGTCACCCAGACAACTAGGGGTGAAGTCAGTTGTATACCTATTCCAGGAGCCCACACTCCAGTGCTGGGGCATTAACTTTCCCTTACCCCTCCCTCCCTACCCGCCATTTTGCTTCATTTTCTCTGAAGGCCAATGGACTGGCAATGTTTGGTATTAGCTGAGTGTCTCCCAAGGTCCGGTTCTAGTCCTGGGGGTCAGCCCTTGGTGCACAATGTCCCCCACCACCACACTGTGCCTCCCACTCTGAACTCTGACCACAGTGAAATGTTTCTCTCTCTCAAGTGTCAGGCTCTCTCTCACCCTAGACCTTTGCCGTGCCCTTGGCCTGGGACCCTGGGAGGGTCCCAGGCCCGCATCTGACTCTTCTGGTCTCACTTGAGATGGTAGAGCCCCATCTTCATCAAATTATTAGGCGGAGGCCCCTTCCTCAGCATGATGGCCCCACGCTCCTTCATGAGGCTGTGTCATGCCAGGCTGCTTTTGTCACCATCTCTCCCCAGACTGTGAGCTCTGTGAAGGTGGAATCTGTGAGTCTTGCTCCCAGGTCCCCATCACCCAGTAGAGGGTCTGTCACATGGTAGGTGCTCAATAAATATTTAATGAGTTAATGAAGTCCATTTTCATCCTTCCAGTTGTACAGATTAGACCACTGAGGCACAGAGAGCTTTAGCACCTTGCCCTGATCACACACACAGCCAGGCCCCGGAGCAGCTCTAGAGGAAAGGCCCGCTTGGGTATGGTGGGATTGGACCAGGGTCAGAGGCCAGGCTGGAGTTTCCTGGAGGGAGGAGAAGGAATGATCAGGGGCTATGCACGCACTGCACTTCTTTGCCCCCGGTAATTTCTGTGCGGCCATACCCTTGGTCTGACCACCAACCCCTACCCCCATTCCACAGATAAGTGACTCCCAGAGGAGGGAAGAGCTTATTCAAGATCAGTGGTGGGCCTCAACATAGTGTCTTCCAGAAATGCAGGCCTGCAATACCTCCCCTTCTCCCACCTGCATCCCTTGAGGAGCAGGAGCGAGGGGGACCACCCCGAAAGGAGACCAGTGGGCAGAAGGTAAGGAGGCCTGGGGTTCTTGGGCTGGCCTTTCCACTTACCCATGGGTAAGCCCCTTAAAGTCTCTGGGCCTCAGTTTCCCCATCTGGACGACAAAGGCGCTTGGCTGGAGCCTTCAGCCTCCCCCCTTCCCCAGAGTACGAGGCCAGGGCTGAGGGAGCTGGTGGGTAAGAATACAGGCTCCTGAGTCCAAAAGGCATAGTCGAGTCCTGGTTCCAGCATTTATTGCTGAATGATCTTGCTCAGTCCCTTCACCCCCTGAGCCTCCATTTTATGGTCTGTAAAAAGAGAATAATAGCTTTTTTTTTTTTTTTAGGATTAAATGAGCTAACATAGGAGAGTCCCTGGCACAAGGCCAAACACGGCAGCGCCGCCAAATGAGGCTGTGTTGTCATGGTATTAGTTAGGGGATGCTGCCCTCTGGAGGCCAAAGGGAGGAACGGCAGGCGAGGGGAGCCCAACCCGCCGCCGGGGCCCCGCTGGAACGCTGGTTCCCGGCGTGCGCCCATTGTCCAGATGCAGAGCGCCGCGGGCGCTGGTCACTGGGTGTGTGCCTCCACCCACTGGCAGAGGCGACGGGCGTAGCGAGCGGGGCTGACGGTGGAGAAGGTCCGGCCCGGGTAGCGCAGCGTCTTCCATAGGTGCTCCAGCCGCTTGCGGAGCCCGTACACCGTGGCGAGATCCACGAGGCCCAGGAAATAGCGTTGCTCCGGCCCGTCCAGGATGTGTAAGGCGTTGGGGGAATCGGGCAGCAGCCGGCGGTTCTGGGATCCCGGCTCCTCCGGGCTCTGTACCCCTCGCACAGACCTGGCGACCGGCAGGAGGGTGAGGCTACTGCCTCCTCCAGGGGGCCCCAGCCCAGGGATTCTGGCAAGCTTAGCCACGGGGCACCCGGGGAGCATTCCGCGCTGACCCTGCTCTTCCTCCGCTCATTCCCACAACTCCTGTGTGCCAGGCCTGTGACGTCGGATAAACTGGGAGGCTGCGTAAAGTGGAAATGATGGTCTAGGGCCGCACTGTCCATTACATAGCCACTAGCCATATGTGGCCGTGGAGCATTTAAATGTAGCCAATCCCAACTAAGGTGCGCTGTAAGTGTGAGATACATACTGAGTTTCCAAGACAGTATGAGAAGAGTGTAAATACCTCATAAATGTTTATATTGATTAGAAGACGAAATGATAAAAATTGGGGGTGTATTGGGTAACAAATGTATTATTAACATTATTTTTACCTGTTTCTGTTTACTTTTCTAAAGAGGCTAAATTTTCTAAAGGAAATTTAAAACTACATGTGTGACTCGCATTTCTTTCTTCTTTTTAAAATTTTATTCATTTATTTGAGAGAGAGAGTGCACAGAGGGAGAGGGAGAAGCAGACTCACCACTGAGCAGGGAGCCCGCCGCAGGGCTCGATCCTAGGATCTCAAGATCGTGACCCCAGCTGAAGGCAGCCGCTTGATCAATTGATCCACCCAGGTGCCCCTCGCATTACATTTCTATTGGGTGGTGCTGCTCTAGAGCATTTGGGTCACACAGACTGGCTCCGCACTTATCTGCCACATCACTTTGGCTAAGTCTGGTATTGGGGTGTTTCCTAAACTTCTGTTTGAGGTCGTCCAGCCCTGGAGGTTTCAGGGTGGCAGAGCTGAAATCGCGTGAACAAAGTCCAACCTCAGTTTATAGATGGTGTGGGGGGAGGGGGCTGTGGGGGTTGCCTTCTAAATGTATTCCAAATGGGAAGATGCCTTTGGCTGGGCCCCAGTCCCAGCCAGAAGCAGGTTCAATTCCCTAATTTTGTCCTCCAGGAGGTGGAGAGGAGTTGGGGAAGTGTCGCTGAGGGAAATAAGCCAATGAGAGACAAGCCCTGCCCAGGCATCGACCAATCAGAACCCAGTGGTCTGGGTGCCGGGGCAAAAACACTGAACCCTTTGCCCTTCGGTACTAGGGGTTAGGAAAAGGCTTGTTCTGAAAGAGGGACTGGGAACAGGTAGAGAGGACTGGGGCAGTGGCCATTTACCAGCCAGCATATTTCAATATGACAACAACCATTATATGCAAACAAACTAGGGTTTACTGGCTGAATGACAACGGTCATCTAAGCATCAGCTGGGGATAGAGGGAGCAAGGGAGAAGCTGACCTAGCTTGGATGGGCAGACCTGGGGGGGGGGGAGGTTGTCTGTGTCCCATGGCAGGAATTCTACCTTCTGGTCAGGATGTGTCCAGACAATATGTGGGGAGCCAATAACCTGGATTCTGCCCAAGCCTCACCCACCTCCAAAAGGTAGGTTGGGGGCTGGATGAGAGTATGCCATCTTTCACTTTTCCACCCGTTGGACTTCTTTCCTTAATGTGCCTTCCTTAACCCCTACATCATTCTGTTCAGCCTTGGAGGACTGAAATCCTAGTAACTAACCAAGTACTAACATGAATCCTCAGAAGTCATTCTGCAACCTCACTTCCCCTCTCTGAGCCTCAGTTTTCACGTCTCTAAAATAGGAATGAGCCTACCTTAATGACTTTCGTGGTCAGCATGCAAAGAGCGATAGTTACTACTATGAAGCAGGGGACAACATGACGATGGGGCCAATGGTGATGACCTTAGGGTCCTAGAAGCGGAACGACTGGTTTAAAGGTCAAGGGTTCTTTTGGGCACCGAAGTGGCTGACTTCAGTTCAGTTAAGCATCTGACTTCAGTTCAGGTCATGATCTCAGGGTCCTGGGATCGAGCCCCTTATCTGGCTCCCTGCTCAGCAGGGAGGCTGTTTCTCCCTCTCCCTCTACTCCTCCCCCTGCTTATGTTCATTCTCTCTCAAGTAAATAAATAAAACCTTTTATTTTATTAATAAAGGGCAAGGGCTCTTTTTAAAGGAAAAATTAAATAGGTCTGAAAACTGCTGTGAAAACTTCACTGGCTCCACATCCATCCCCTTCAGGAAAATGGGCAGATTCTTTCCATCAGCACTGAAGCCCTTGTCCAGCTGGATCTCCTCTGCCCGGTCGTGTGTGGTCCACACGTGCCCACCAACCCTGCCAACCAGGCTTCTCCAGCCCTCCACCCTCCACACACACACACACACACACGCACGCACGCACGGACCCACAAACACTGCACTTCCCAGTCTCTGAGCCTTTGTCTGTGGTGTCCCCCCCACCTGCCCCGCCTCATCATCCAGCTTTCTCCTGCTCTCGTCACCTCATTCTTGCCCCTTGCCCCTGCGGGGGGGCCCACCTGACCGTGCGGAAGATGAGACTGCTGCCCGGGCCCCTCTCATCCTCATGGAGACGCTGGAAGGCCATCAGGAGGCTGTAATCGAGCACGTTGAGTTCCCGGAGGAAGGCGGTGTCCAGTTCCATCTGGTGGAGGAGCCAGCTCCGCTGGGGCCCTGCCAGAGCATCAGTGCCCCCACTTGAGCGCTCCTCGTGTGTCAGGCAAGGTGCTGAGGGCTCCACACATATCTGCCCCAAGAGGGCAGGTGTCATTAACTGTCCCATTTCACAGATGAGGAAATTCATCTGTAATTTGCCCTGGTCACCTAGCTAGTAAGTCGTGGAGCCAGGATTTGAACCCTGCTCTGCCTGACTCTAGAATCCGGGCTCTAAATGACTCAGGCAGAGGGCAGGGCCAGGGACACCCTTCTAACTTCACCCTGAATGGAGAAAGAGCACGCACAGACTGCCTCCATGGCTCACCCAGGTCGATGGTCTTGCCTTGAAAGTTGAGATCCTTCAGCACCAGGACAAGGGGGCTACCCTCAGGGGCTGGCTCCACCCATCGGCTCACCTCACAGCCCTTTATGTCATACCTGTGAGTGGGGGGATGACAGAAAGGGGGCGACAGAATTCAGCATTATACAGACTGACGCACACGGGGAACCAAGAAACAAGAGCTTCCACTGGGTGGATGTTCGAATCTTCACCACAAGCCATTCCATTATTGTCCCCATGTCAGAGATGAAGAAAAAGCCTCAGAGAGCTTCTTTGACTTGCCCAAGACCACACGGTAAGTAAAGGGCAGAGCTGGGATTCGAACTCGGGCCTTTGGGAGCCCATTCCCAGCTTTATCCCTGCCTGTGCTGGCTTCTCAGCCCCTTGTCATCCCTGGAAATGTCCCCGACACAGGGGTCCAAGCCTAGACTGCAGCACCAGGGGGGAGCACTCATGGGGAGCTTTCAGGCAGAGTCACTGTTAGGAGGCAGAAAGGGCCATGTGCAATAAGAGGCTGGGTTTGAATCCCTGCTCCTCACAGAGTAGCGGCGTGGCCCTCCCCCTCCTCAGCTTCTCATCTATAAAATGGGCATGATAACCACACCTACCCCTCAGAGTTGTTCCAGGAATAAAGAAGGCAATGAATGCAAAGCCTCGACACAGTGCCCAGGGCATCCTGAGTGCTCAAGAGACGCTGGCCGTGCCTATCCCTGTCTCCGATCCATCAGGAGATCCCAGGGATGTCCCTCCCATCTCCTCCCTGGGCCTCAGTTTTGCATCTATCTAGTGAGTATGGGTGCTTCAGGTGGCAGATCCCGCGTGGGACCGGGGCCCTGTGAGGCGACTCACCTCTCAGAGATGCGGCCCGAGGGATAGAAGACGCTCAGCATGATGATGAAGAATTCCTGGGGACAGGGGTAGGGAGTGAGGGAGGACAGGATCTCACCCTCCAGCCGCCCCCTCTAGCCCGGCCCCCTCGCCTCGGCCTCACCCACCTTCTTTCCCCGAGCCACCCGCAGACTGTGCACTCCTGGAAGGGGAGAGGGCGCCAGGTGAGGGGCCCCCAACTCGACAACCCCTGGTCCAGCCCGCTCTAGGCCCAGCTCCCTCTAGGCCCAGCTCCAGGCCATGCCTCCTCCTCGAGGTCCACAGCCTCCCGAGCCCGCCCCTCCAGGCCGCGCCCGCGGACCTCTGCCTCAGCTCGGGTCGTCGTCCGGACGGGACCCGCCTCTAGGTCGCCCCGGAGAGGCGCAGTCCTCAGGCGTGCCCCACCCCTATGCCCTCCAGCCGCGCGACTGGGAGACCCAACCCCGCCCCCTTCGGGAGGCCCCGCCCCAGAGCTCGGCCCGCGCCCACCGAGCCCGCCTTTCCCCTCCACCCACGTCGAGGACACGCCCCCCCACGGAACGCGGCCCCTGCCCGGAGCTGCCAGCCCAGGCCCGGGCTCAGGTCCCCTACGCCCCCCAGCCTGGGAGCCGCCCCCCTCCCTAGCCCCCCTCCCCTGCTCGTTCTCGGTCTTCTTCACTCCCCCCCCCTTCCCCCGCCCCGCAATCCCCGGTCCCCGGCCGGTCGTACCCAGCAACCGCGCAAGTAGCGAGTGCGGGTGCCGCTGCAGATGCTGCACGTAGCGGGGCAGGTGGGCGAGCAGGGCCCGCACCTCCCGACGCCGCTGGGTCTTCAGGAAGAAGCGTTGGTCGTGGCTGGGCGGTGGAGGGAGAGGTCACTGGTCAGGAGGAGCTGGAGCGGCCCCCATCGGGCCCTCTGCCCGAGTGTGGCTCTGTCTCCCCCGGTTCGGGCTCGAGGTCTCCTCACCCCCGCTCCGGTCACCTCCCGCCCTCACTCTCCTCCATCAGACCTCTATCTGGCCCTGACCATCCCTGACCTGGCCATTCTGTTTCTTTCCCACCCACCCCCCTCCCCTCCACCCAGGGACACCACTCCCACCCGTTCCCCACCCCTACTGCCAGCTCACGACAGGAAGAAGCTGGCCTTGCTCTTGGAGGTGCTGAGGAACTGCAGGTAGGGGCCACCTGGGCCAAGCGCCGCCTGATAGTCCTCCTCGGCCAGGCCTAGGGATTGGCGCAGCCAGGCGAAGGCTGGGCCAGCCAGGGTGCCCAGCTCGAAGCCCTGCAGGGGAGGAAGAGCAGCCCCAGCAGTGTCCACAGGGGGCCCAGGTGTGTGCAGTAGGCCCTAGCGCGCGAGAGTCAGGGTTACCACACCGGTCCTGCAAAGCCCTGAGGCAAGCCAGCACTCCTACTGCACTGATGGGGAAACTGAGGAGGACAGAGAAGGAAGACCAGTACACGCCCCTCCCATGCAGCAGTCTGGGGCTTCCTACCTCGTGAACCTGGGTCAGGACCTCGGAGAAATCCTCCTCAGTGGGCGGTCCCTACAGGGAGGAGTGGAGGGGTCAAGTCTTTGCCCCACACTGCCAGCTCCAGGATCTCAAGAGTCCTGCACCTGGCCTCACCCACTTCCCTCAGTGTGCTTGCTCCAGCAAACAGAGACCAGAACTCAGAGCTTCATCCATTGACCCAGAAGCACATGTTGGCCTAGTGAGGCCAGATGCCATCCCAGTGAAAGGGGATGGCCTTAAAGCCAAGGGATGTGCCTGACTCAGTGTGAGAAGGGCAGGATCAGAGAAGCCTTCCTGGGGAAGGTGACCTCTAAGCTGATATCTGAAAGGTGGTGCTCCTAGCAGGGAGAACAGCATTGGTGGTCACCGGAAGGGCAGGAGAGCTCAAGTGATTGAAATAATTAAGGGAGGGATAGAGTGAATGCAGCTGGACAGTCGGCCCTTGGACTTGAGCCAGCAGAATCCTGAGGCCATGCTGAGTACTGGGGAGCCATGGAAGATTGTCAGCAGGTTATGAGATTTAGAAGACCGTGCCCCCCCTCCCCCCCACCCAGGCTCCTACACTCTTCTTGGACCTCCAGGTCCCTGTGCCAGGACTTGGCCTGTGGGATGTGGTCACACTGTGCACACGTGTGTGTGTGTGTGTGTGTGTGTGTGCACGCACACACACACACAAACAACACACATGCTCGCCCTGGCCTGTCCAGCTGCTGAGCTTGCAGTTGGGCGACCCTTTCTGCTGAGCCAGCCTGGCCCCAGCCTGAGCTCCGGGGAGGATGGGCCAGGCTGGTGGGGTGGGGGTAGGGTCCTTTCTCAGCCATACACCCTAGCAGAGCCAGGAGGGCATCAGAGACGGAGGAGTACAATCCCCCTCACACCCACCCATTATACAGATGGGGGCGCTGAGGTCCAAAGAAGCAGAGGCCCATCTAGAGTTGCACAACAACCACCTGGGGTCAAGGGGTTCCTCACATCCCCAGTACACACCTGGCCTTGCGGCTTCCTGGCCTCAGCCCCCACTCCAGCATGTCCCTCCCTCCCTGCACCAAGCCCCCGATTTCCTCCTCGTACAGTCCTCTCTGATCCCCGACCCTGCGGTATTAGCAGGACCTGGCATCCGCGCAGTCTTGCCCTTGGTACCAAGGAGGTGCATAACACAGATGGGCCACTCACTGTGGGTGGGTGGTCCATGGAGACCTGGGTGGCAGCCCACAGCCCTGTCTGCATCATGCATGTCAGCTGGTGCAGCTCATGCCCCGGGCCAATCTCAAACAGGCCAAGGCGAGTCTGCTTGTCTCGAAGACGCCAGAGGAGGCCACGGCGGCCGGAGGTCGAGGTGGCTGCTCTGCATCCAGCCTCTGGGGAGGGGGCCAGGACCTGATGGCAGGAGGCACAAGAAGCAATGAGCGCATGGAAGCATCCCAGAGGGGAAAGACCTGGGTTTGAGTCCCACCTCCAATACTTGTGAGCCCTCCTATTATTGCTCTCTGCCTCAGTTTCCTCGGTCGTAAAACAGCGATAATGCTGGTACCCACTTCACTGGGTGTTGTGATGGGCCACGCAGTGCCTGGCATGCGGTCAGCACCCAGAATAGAATTATTATCAGTAGGTAGATAATGCTTTCCGCAACCAAACCTGTCTCTCATCAGCTGTATGATCTTAGGTAAGTCACCTAACCTTTCTGCATCTCCTTTTCTCATCTGTAAAATGACAACTATAATAACTCCTTCGTGGCAGTTTGATATTTGCTCCAAGCACAGGAACCCTTGATACTAGGAGCTGTGACGACAGGGACTCGGTCATCTATTCCGCCGGTCTATGCGGAGTTCCTCCAGGCCGAGCGGAGGGTCAGCACGAAGCTGAGCTCACAGCAGCTCACCCATTCGTAGTGGGCACCCACCATGTGCCCAGCACTGGCCGAGGGCTTGACTTGCTAACAGCCCTATGAGGGAGGAGCTTTTTCCCCGATGAGAAAACCGAGGAAGTTCTCTGGGGACACCCGCCAGACTTCCCCCTCCATACCTGCGGCCCCGTGTGGGGCGTGTCCTTGTCCCCGCCCAGGGCTGGACCCCTCCAGGGCTTGGATGGGGGTGTGTCCGCGCTGCACGGGGAGGAGAGGCCTGGGCCCTGTCCCCCAACCCTTCCCTCTCCTGTCCTCTCTTGGGTCCGCACCTACCTCGCGGGGTCCCGGGCTCGGTGCGGCCATCGCCCCCGCAGCAGCTTCCCGGGCTCCGGCCGCGTCCCCGCCGCCGCGCTGCAGGAGCCGGTCCCCGCCCCTGCTTCTGGACCGACCAATAGCGCGGTGCCGGTCACGGCTGCACCCAATCCGCGCGGGAGGCGCCGGCGATCGCTTGCGGGTCCCGCCCCCGGGGCTGCAGCATCCTTCAGACCGCGGTCCAAGCCGGGGTGGGGCCGCCGCGCGTTACTTAGGGTCGCCAGGAGGGAACACCCCCCACCCAGTTCGTCTCCTCAAGTGGGGGGCTTGGGTCTCGGGGCCGTTTGGGGAGGCGGGGAACCTAAATCCAAATCCCGCCCACCCACTCTGGCGTGAAATTCCCACCGACTGTCCCTCGGGTGAGGAAACTAAGGTCCAGAGAGAGAAGTGAGTACCTCCAGGTCACACAGGAAGTCCGGGGCATGCATTCATTCAAGGCCTGTTTTGACCACTCACCAACGGCGGGAGCAGCGCTAGGCCCTGGGGGGTCAGCGGTGAGCGAGAGGGAGGAACACAGCTGCCAGCCTGATCTTTTAAAAGCATAAATCGGATGATGTCACTCTCATGCTTAAAGCCTCCAGTGGCTTCCCTCTGCACTGGAACAAAATCCACACCCCTTGCCACGGCCCCAGGCCCATCTCAAACCACTCTGCCTACACCCACCAGACAGCTACAAGGGGCGCCCCCGGCTGGTCCTTAGGCATAAAATTCTTTCACACCCGGGGCTTTTGCGGGTGCTCTTCCCACTGCTTGAAATCCTTTCCCTTAGGCTTTCCTTTGACCTATTCTTTCCAGTCACCTTGCCCGACTCTAAGTGTCCCCTCATTCTTTTTATTTTTTAAGATTTTATTTATTTATTTGACAGAGAGAAAGCACAAGCAGGGGAAGTGGCAGAGGGAGAGGGAGAAGCAGACCCCGTTGAGCAGGGAGCCCGAAATGGAGCTTGATCCCAGGACCCTGGGATCATGACCTGAGCCGAAGGCAGATGCTTAACTGAGCCACCCAGGCGCCCCAGTGTCCCCTCATTCTTGATCACATTACCTTGTTTTATTTTCTTCATCACACTTAACACTGCCAGAAATCATCTTGTTCACTTACTTATTGTATCCCCCCCCGCCCGCCCCCCGGATGGAAGCACCAGGAGGGCAGGAACCGTGCTGGGCTCCCTTCTTGGCTCAGTGTCTGGCACAAACCAGGGTTTCGTAAGCATATGCTGAACTGATGTGAGTAGGACGTGTGAAGGGCCTCAGTGAATCCCAGGAAATGAAAGGCCAGGGGAGCTGGAGTGAGAAGAGAACAAGCATTCAGGTTCTTTTATGTGAATGAGAAAGATGCTCAGATGTTCTTAAAAGGCCATGGTTGTCATGTGTAGTCACGTTGGAGGGGCCAGAGTGTGTGTATGGGGGGGAGGAATCTTTGGGTGAGTTAGCGCAGAGGAGGGAGCCTTTGCATCAGAGAGGTGACTGGTGGGGGGAGGAGAGAAAAGGGGAGAACTGACAGGATTTGGGGTCATGCAGATGGGGGCTAGGAGGAGGAAGTCAAGGTCAGTGATGTGTGCCAGGATTCTGGCGGGGGTTAGGGCCACAGGATGATGCCAGTCATGGAAGAGGCTGGGAGGGGAAACTGGAGAGGGGAGTCTGAGAATTCAGATCGTGACAGGATGAATTTGAGGAGCCACTATGACATCCGATGGCGGTTAACTGGTGCATGGGCAATACGTCGGGGCTCAGGAGGAGGGCCTGGGTAAGGAGAAGGGCGGGGTGAGGCTTGTGACCAAGTCCCAAGGAGTCCACCGTGTCGCGGCGGAAGTGGAGCGTGGGAGACATAAAGTATGAGAACGAATCCACACGGACACCGAGAGCAGCTGAGGTGCATCCACGGGGATGTCACAGGCCAACATGGGGTCAACAGGGGGTCTGAGTGGGTGCAGCCCTCCAGGAGTGATGCTGAACACAGTGAAGGTGAGGAGCTGCAGGCAGCGGGCTGGACATCCTTTTGGGAATCTGGCTATTTAGGGGAGAAGGGGAGACCTGGAGGGAATTATTGGGTTGATAGAGGGTCCTTTACGTGGGGGCCTGGGCATGCTCCTGACACACCCGGAGGAGCCTGGTGAGAGGCAGGGGCTGTCCCCGTGAGAAGGGGACCATTGGAGACAGGACTGCTATAAGCAGGGGAAGATGGGACAGGTGAGGGCGGGGCAGGTGTGCCTGTAGTCAGCCTCTGTTCTCAGATGAGGGAGACATCTCTGCTAACCGGAGTGAACATCATCCAAGGTGTGACAGAGGCTTAAACTAGGCACTGCGGATAGGACACCCAGCTGCGTGGGGCGGGGGGTGTGCTGGGATTGCGGGAGGGAGACGGGGCTGGGCCTGTGCCAGATCACTCAACCTGACCAAAGGTAGCCCTGCTCTGGTTCCCCAGCTCTCACTGCTCAGAGCCACACTAGGTTGGGCTGTTGGGTACAAGAGATGGACGATGGACTTGGGTTTTTAGGGGACTGGCCCGAGGGTCCCTAAAATACCAGTGCACGCTAGCTGGGCTGGTGCAGAGGAGGCATAGTAGAGGCTGATGTGGTGTGTGGCACGTTGCCAGGCCTCCGCCGACTCCCCATCCGTGAGTTGCACCACGCTGGAACCACATGTTTCAGTCCCCACTTTATCCTGGGTCCGACACGGGGACAATCTGGGAGGCACCTGAGGCACACTGCGCGAACAAGTCTCATGACCTGAGACCAGCCCCTCTCCAGCCCCTGAGCAGCCCAGCGCCCAGCTCCCCCCCCCCCCCCCCCCCCCCCCGCTCAGGGACGGCACAGAGACAAACACGTCATCAGTGTTTATTGTTCAGCTCTCCCCAAGAGGCCAGCGCCAGGGCTGGCGGGCTGGGCCTCTATGAGAAGCAGTTGGTCTGGGGGCCCACTGTGGCCATCCTAATGGACCCTGAGGCCTGGTGGTAACCCCAGAGCCTGTCAGTTCTCCGCTTAGGCTTTGTGGGGCCCGGGGCTATGTCAGACCCGGGAAAGCTGTCTCCGAGGAGGAGCAGGACATGTGGGGAAAGGTCGCATGATGCCTCGGAACCTACCAGGTCCAACATCAGCAGGTGACAGGAAGGAAACGGAAACCAGAGGGTAGAACCCAGGGGAAAAGGCAACGGGGCGTCTGAAGGTGAGGTAGGGATGACCGGCATCCTTCAGGCCCTGAGCCACAAAGGGGTGAGGGGGAGGTTTCCAGGTAATCCTCCCTCCTGGCTTCTGGAAGGTTGAGCAGGGAAGGAGCAGGCCTGTGTGGTACGTCCCAAACAGCTCCATCCCACGGGGATGTCTGCAGGGCAGCCAGGCCGGAGGGGGCTGCAGTGCCTGGATGGGTCCTATGCACCCCACCTTTGGAGGGGAGGCAGAGGAAGGGCCAGCAGCCTCAGCCCTGCTGGGCCTTCACTGAACCTTTTTGGTCGCTTTCTGGTTCTTCAGCATCACGTAGGTAATGAACAGTCCTGGAAATACACAGACCAGAAAAGCCAAGTAAGATCCAGGCTTGGGGCTGCTGGGAGGCCAGAGCAGTGCAGAGCGTGGTGGAATGACCCGCACACGGGGCCAAGCACCTGCCCAACCACCCTCCAGGCCAGCATCACCTCCCGGGTCACTCAGCAAGCCACATACCAACCCCCGTGTATTCAACAAACACCAACGGAGTGCCCACACAGGTGAGTGGCTACACTTAGTGTTTTAGATTCCACAGGGCACAAAGCCCGCTCAATTATCCATCTACCCACCCAATCAACCACCTGTCCACCCACCCACCTGCTTACTCCGCATCCACCACCCACCCCACCACCCAGTCATCCAAGTGACTCATCCAAACCACTTTCTTGGGCACCGACTCGGTGCCAGGAGCTGAGGACATAATAATAATGATGAACCTACAGTCCCTGGCCCAGAAAAGCCCACACATAAACGCTGGGAGACAGAGAGGGGCAGGAGTCATGAGCCAGGGGGTGACAAGGGGGTGAAAGGTGACTGAAGTGTGAGCAGAGTGATGATGGTAGTGGCAGAGGGAGCAGGAAGAAGGGAGACACCCCATTAGGGCCATCACATTTGAGACCAATGAGTCTGAGGCATGGGGACGAGCAGCCCAGAAGGGTGAACAGGAAAACCCCGGGGGGTAAGCTGGGGGCCAGGGGCCCCAAGCAGGTGTACTGCAAGTGCTAAAGTGTGGAAGCATGTTCAGGGGATGGGAGAGGGTTGTGGGAACCCCCAGACACCCTGCTCAGGGTTGAGGGACTGATGACTTACCCACAAACAGGAGCAGCATGAGGCCGGCAGCCAGAGGGATGGCGACAGCGTAGGCTCGGGGCAGGAAGTACTTGTGGATGACATGCTGGCTGTCGATGAATGGCTAGTATCGAGGACAGAGCTCTGGTGAGCGCTCCTTGCCTGGCCCAGCCCCTCAAGGCCAAACACCGCCCTTCCTCCATCTGAGGGGCTAACCCCAAAGCACCGGGACAGCACCTGCTTTGCTTTAAGATGATGCTAATGTGGGGCGTTCTGGTTTGTTTCCTTCATTCACTTACTGAATAGTTGTTCACTGCACACTTGCCTGATGCCTGCCCTAAGGTGGTGCGGGGGACCTGGCAATGAACAGAAGACGAGGGCCTTGCCCTAAGGCACTCACAGCCCTACAGGGGCAAAGGTACAGGAGGAATCCTCAAGTGGGCTCCAAGGTCTTCTTTACTAACATTTCCCTCCAAAGTTCTTTAAGTTTTAGCCCTCCAAACACACTGCACTTCTTAAGCAGTAACCAACAAATTTTCCCACAAGAAAAAAAAAAAAACCCTAAAAGCCCTCACAAAATCTACTGGCACTCATCATGCCCGGGAGCCAGCAGGATATCCCAGAAGGACCAGAACTCCAATCAAAGGCAAAAGTGAATCAGTAATAGGGCTTTACAGTGTAGCGTTAAGGGCCCGACCCTTCTTCCTGAGCTTTAGCTTCCTCACTT